AAAAGAAAAAAAAAAAAAAAAAAAAAAAAAAAAAAAAAAAAAAAAGGCTCCAAAAAGAAATCACCACGACGACAAGTCACACACAAGATACGTGCGCGCCGTACAGTACGCCACGAGTGAAAGAGCAGCAATAACAACTGTGCATCTACATCCAGCATGATGAACATCACAATGAACTTTAAAGTTGTCCAATCTACCATTAACCCATTTCAAAATTAGTTGATGGATTTTAACTCCAATTGGTTTAAGCTGTCAATATAAATCTTGAAATAAACTCACCGACGCAGCCATTCGTCATTCATGACTCGACGCCGTTTTACCCACTCTGTTTCTAGTCGTCGCCATCCATCTTCTTTGCGTTGAGCAAGTTCGTCTCTCATTCGACGCACTGTGGCAATGTATTTTTCTTTGATGGTCTGAAGTTGGGATAAGCTTTGGCTTTGAGCATTTTGCAGCGATTTCTGCATGCGTAAACGTATAAAGCAGAATGAATCAAACACACAAGTTGGTTTCATTAAAAGGTTGCAAACATGACCACAAAGTGCTTACCTCCAATGTAGCTATTTTCGCGTCGTATTCTACCTGAACAGAAGCCAACACGTTTCGACTTGTTTCCTCCTTCATCCTGTCTATATCCATCTTGGCTCGTTTTTCAAGTCGATCAACATACAGTTCTTTTTCTCCTGTAAATTTCTTGACCAAAAGACCTTCAAGTCGTAGATACTCGTCCTTTAACTTGGTAATGGCAGTATCATAAGCAGCCGAACATTGTTCTTTCAATCGTGTAGAAACAGAAACAATTTCTGCTTGATGACGATTGACAATAGTTTGCCTTTCCTGTTCGTGTTGAGCTGTTAGGAGTTGGAGAGTCTGAGCATGATCTGCTTTGAGAGAAGCTATCTCGTCCGAGTGTGCTTGCAATGCCATTGCATTCATGTGTCGTCGAAGCTGAGACTCAAGTCCTGATCGGTACTGGTTAAGTTGGGTAGGAAATCTAGCTGCAAGCTCAGTCAGTGTCACTTGTGAATCTGGTATTACAGGATGATCGAGTGGACTGTTCGTTCTTTTTGATCCATTTTCTGTCTTGCTTTTCAACTGCAATTGAAGATTCTGAACATGCTTGGACAAACTCCTAATATTGGCTTCCATCCGATTTCGAGAATTTTCTTCATCACTCTTGGCCATACTCAACGATGCCTCTAAAGTAACTTTGGTTTGTGCCAGCTCAGCCATATGTGCACGCTTCAATGCATCCAATACTCGCCGATGTTGGGTTTCCAAATGAGATTGAGTGTCTTGCATCTGTATGGTCAGTTCATCTTTAATAGATTGCATTTGCTCTGTTTTTACACTCAAATCGGCTCGAAGATTTGCTACAGTCGCTTCATGTTGTTCTACCAACTCCTTGCATTTAAGAATCACTTGATCTTTTGATATGAAATCAGTCTTGGGGCGAGATCCAGATCTGCGTAAAGATTTAGAGGTTCCAGAACTTGAAGTACTGGAAGCGAAATTAGATTGAGGTTGGGCATTGCTACTGTTGGATCCATTCATGATCGTCCAAATTTGCTCCATTGCATACTCCATTTCCGCTACCTTGGAAATCAACTCTGCTCGTTCAGAAACCAATCCATCAACTTTAGCAACCAAGTCACTTTTTTCAGTCATTTGTCGTTTCAGCTCAATCGCATTCTGCAGTGCAGCGTCACGCTCATCACATACTGTTTTTAATCTGGTTTTCAGCTCCTCTGCCTTTGCCGCTTCGTTATCTATTTCCTGCTGATACGTTTTCTGTAATTCTTTGCGTCCTAAAGCCATCTCTTGACGCATATCAACTAAATGCCTTTCAGTTTTTCCCAACAACTCTTTTTTGATTGTCAAGACTTCCAACTCTTTCTCACGTTGAAGCGATGCTCTAATCTGAGAAATCTGTTTTGTAGTGGTTTGTAATTGCGTCAAATCCTGATCAAGCGTATTGATTTTTTCTTGTAACAATTCCTGTTTCTGTTTTTCGTATCCCTAACATAAATGTCGCAATCCAACACCAGCAATGAGTTAATTTGGTTTAGATTATATGAAAGCAAACAGAATTTGAAAATGAATCCATTACTTGAATACGTTTAATTTGATCCTCTGCTGTAGCATTGGCAGCATTCAATGCACGTTCATGTTCAAGTTGTATCTCATCTACACAAACAAAACATTAAATCAATCAGAACCCAATCCATGACATATCAATCCAAAACACATACTGAGTTGTTGGTGGTGGTCGGAATTAGCTTGTAAAAGACGTTCGTTCAATGCACGTAAACTTTGACATTCGCTACGTGCTTCAAACAACATATCATGCAAATCCCGTGTCGTTGATCCTCCATAGTCAGGAGCGTATCCATCCAAATATGATTTTGTAGTGGATGGTAATACACATGGTGTAGCTATTTGGTTGCTGTTTGAATTGGGTGTCGATGGATTCGTATACCCACCTACATATTGTAATGGTTGAACAGAGTTATGAATGTTTTGTATAGGATGATTATGATTCAAAGTCTGACCCGTTTCTGAAACGTCATGACTTGAACGAGACGACATGTGTGCATGCTGGGTATGCAATGGTATCCATCCTTGTGAATGCGTGGATGAAGCAGAACGATTTGATCCAATTGAAGTTTGAAATTGTGCGTGTGGGGAATACTCCGAGTCAAGTTGATGATTAACAGTAGTTGTCCAAGAAGTTGATTTATGAAGATTAGTTTGTGGTAGCTGTACGTCCACTGTAGATTGTATCCTGTCATGAGTCGTGTCCAAATACTGATGATGATTAGACAGAATCGAAGGTAATTCATCCAATTCGATTTCCAGTTCATCGCTATTTCCATTAGTAGAACCATTAAATAAATCCTGTTCAAGATCTGATAAATCGATATCCGTAATTCCCTCGATTCTTGGTATGCTATGTTCTTCCATCATCATGCGAGTCATCAATTCTGTCTGATCAGCATCGTGTGTTTCCACCACATCATCATGAGCATGAGTGATATCTGTATTCTGGTCACTGTCGACATCTTTTGAATTAGGATCAAAATCGTCCAAATCCAGCTGTGACAAATCACTGTCATCCAATGCAACATGGCCCATCTGCGACTCACCCTCTTCAGCGATATCATGCAAAGGATTGACACTCTGAATATGAAATGGATTGATTTCTTTTGTTACAGTCTGATGATGAAGCAAAGAATGAGTTGTATTGGATTGAAATGGCTGTGATGCGAATTCATCGTCTTGATGGTCTAGCTCATCCACCAAGTCTTGAAAATCACTACCACCAAAATAGTCATTGTCGGTATTCAAACGATTATGTTGACTACGACCCAACACACTATTATGCTCATCCATGTTACTCTGAATCAAAAACGACTCTTTAGGCTGTATGGGATGGACAGTTGAAGGGGTCGAATTCAGATTAGAATGTCCGACTGGATGATTTGATGTTGAAGAAAATGAATGTGATATTGAAGGACTATCATGAATGTATTCAGTCAAGAATTTCTGATAAGAAGAAGAGTCGAGAGTAGGAGTCGTTGTAGTCTGTTGTAAATCCAGACTCGACCGAGCGAGCATTTCTGTTTGATATTCCAAATCTACAGTCGAATTCACTCAAGACAACTTTTGTATTAAAGCGACTGTTTTGATAAAAATGATAAATATTCATTATTTTGTTGAAAATCGATGATTTCTTTTTATAGAATGTTCACAGTTGAATTATGGTTTGAATTGGAATGATTCACTTTTGGTAGTCATGCATTGCATAATGTTCAAGTTTAAACCCAGATATTAAGACTAGTTTCAATATCTGGTTTAAACTCGCGTTCTAGTTCAACAAACGATTGTGTGTACTTGAAGAATATACTGAAAAGTTTACTATAAACAATTTACTTGAATTACTCGGGTGAAACCCTAATAGAAACGTCTGATAGCGTAGTCTGCTCTGCAAAAAACGATGTCTGATCAGCTCGGTTTCGTCGATTGTCACTTTGAAAAAAGAACGATACAACTAAACATGCAGCACTACATGTAATCATCAAGACCATGCCATAGTATAGATTCCCATCGCTTCCTCTAACTGCATTAGAGATTAGAAGCAATATAATGCCAAAGATCTGACCACCCCACATGAGAAAACCAGCTGATGTTCCTGGAGAAATTGGAAAAGTGACTTCCACGGCTGCTTCAAGAACAACAGGAATAAGTGGAAATCCACCCATACCAAACATGGCAGACGCAATGGCCAACACACTATACTGATTACTGGATTTCATGCCCAAGAGAAAGACAATCGTACCAAGAGTGACAATCAGACAGCAGATTTTAACAGCAATGGCATGACCATGAGTTCGATCAAGCACAACACCAATAATACCAGCATTTACAAGTCCAACACCAATAGCAATCACACCAAGGTTTCCTGCCTGATCTTGAGTGTATCCAAACGGTACAACATAGTCGGAAATAAGCGTGACAAACGTATTGAAAATACCAAGAAAAGTCCCAAACACAATCCAAAGAATCACATAAGCCTTGATCTTGAAAAGTTGAAAAACACCTTGTTTAAAGGGAACATGTGTAACTTGAGCAGAAAATGTCGGTGCAGTAGGCGGCCGATCTAATATCCACAGTGAAGGAAGAGCGCATACACCAGCCAATATAAATACAACCAGGTTGAGTGTAGCAAAATTTGCAGGATTCGTCCCAATAATAGATGGACCCACGAGTAGTAAAATGGCAGATCCAATGGGTTGTCCCAAGGAAATGACTGTGTTGGTAGTTGTGCGTTCCTTTTCACCAAACCAATAAGCAGTTACAACCGACGGTGCTATTCAATGTATCAATAGTGAGATTCACGCAGTTCAAAGTTTTACAAACTTGGTATCCATTCGTGGCAATATTACCATCTAGAAGAAAAGGTTGAGCAATAGATGCCAAGCATTGACCGAGTAAAGTAATAGCATATCTAGAAGTCGGAGATTCCAAGTAACATCCAGCCCAGCGCACTCCAGCACCAACAGCCGTGAGCCAACATCCTAATATAATCTAAAACAAAATATCAAATGGCTTTTTTTTGTTAATGATGTTCAGATACCATAACCCAGACTAATCTCGGAATTCCGGTCTCTAACCATGACATACACTTATTCTCAGTCCCTTGACATCTAGACACCAACTGGCAACTGGTGACAGAGGAATGTATCTAATACAAAATTAAAACACTTTAGTCATTGCAATGGCGGTACATCAAGGTCAGATGTAGATGGTCATGACATACAAGATTAAAAAGACCAATGCAAGAATATTGATCATGAATGAAGATGCTCCATAGTACTCTGACGCAGACGGCGTAACAGCAGAATATGTAGTCCAAAGAGCACTATTTGACAAATTGCCTAAAAAGACGCTAAAGGCAACAAGGAATCTCCTGCTATATAATTGAAATTCCTGCTTTTTAGGCTCATTGAGTAGCTCTACTTCTGTCGTCATCAAGTGCCGGACTCGAATCTATCTTTATACTGATTTTACTGGATCAACAGTTGACAGATTTTCCAAGATAATTGGGAGTTTGTTGATCACTGCAGTAATCGATTCAAGAAGCGGTCGAGTAGGCGTATTTATGGCTGACGATAAAACGTACAAGAATAAAGTTGGAGTGGAAAATTATAATTATAATTATCATGTGTTTAAAAAGTGTTTGCGTAAAACTCATTCAACCACACTTTCAGGGTTGGCTTTTGCTTGGCGTTGTTTTTTGTGGACATCAGTAGATTGTCTGCTAATTTGAATGGCAAGAGCATTTATCGCTCGTGTTTCCTTATCACGGCAATAATCTGACTTGTTGTTGGGTTACTTTACTGAATGGCTTGTTGCTTCATTCGATTGGATATAGGGCAGCCTCCCTCATTTGATCTTGTTCTGACACAATCTATGACATTCCACCCACTGTGTAATTTTACAGAATTTACACTTTTGAAATGCAGTAGCCTGCTTGATATTGTTAAAATGTCTATTAAGCATGATGCTACTGACGATTTTTCATTTTATCTCTATTTTCATCTCTTGTGTCGATGGTTGTGAATGGTTTAATGCTGTCCAATAAATTAACATTCGTCCTTTCATGAGACCAACTGTTTACTATAGACACTCTTGTGTTCCATTTTACACAAGTACCGCCAAGACAATGGGCAAATATCAAAATACTAAAAAAGCAATGTATTGTACAAATGCAACACTTTTTGCGCACAAAATAAGCTTTTTTCCCATTCGATTATTTCTTGATAATTTAAACATGGCAGACGGGCACATTTCTGATAATGAAGAAGGGCACATTGAGAACCCCATTGCGACGTTTCAGGCTCTTTCTGCTGAAGGTGACTTGCTCTTACAAAAGGGAGCATTTCAGGAGTCTATCGAGGTGTATACCAGAGCATTGGCGATTCGCCCAACTGACAAGCATTGTCTGGTCTGCCGCTCACGCTGCTACATCCAAATTGGATCCCCTTCTCTAGCACTCAAAGATGCTGACCTTTCGCTTAAAGAAGATCCGTCGTATTTTAAAGGCCAGTACCAAAAAGCAGAAGCCCTTTATGCCCAAAGTGATTTTGAACTCGCACTCATGTACTATCACCGAGGTCTTCGGCTTCGACCCGAACTGAGCGAATTTAGAACAGGTATTCAAAAAGCTCGCGAAGCAATCGATAATTCTATTGGAGATGCCAGAACTATGAAAATACATGTTCCTGCAAAACTAAGAAGGGATTTGGCAGTTTTGGCAGCTGCTCAACCCACCATGCCTGATGGGTCTACACATCAACGTCATGCAAAAGCTACTGGATCACAATCCCAACAACAACAAATGCAAACAAACTATGGAGTGGATGGGGAAAATAACCGTCCTTATTATCTCACTGGCAGTCTAACCCCAGCAATGGAGAGCAAGCTGCTGGGTGAGCTGTATGAAGACAAGGTATTTTTACAAGAGTTGTTGACTGATCATGATTTGGCAAGTTATCCTGACGAGCAAGTCAAGTCATTGGTCAATGAAGGCTTGAGGTATCTCAACACTCGCGTCGAGTTTTGGCGACAACAACATCCATTGTATGCTCGCAAGCACGAAAAGCCTATTCAGCCCAGAATGGAAAGACGAGTATTGCCAAAACATGTGATTGATTCTACTGGTACTAACAAGGAACATGGTCGTACTGCTACCCATGAAGTCCCTATTGGGAATGCTAGTCAATCTCGTGAACCTCGCCAGATTTCTGATAAACCCACTCGTTCTAGTATCCATCCCACTACCAACCATACACGAACATCAGCACAGACCCACCAAAAAAAGCCTACGGCCACTTTGTGAGTTGATTAGAACTCAATCAACAGTAATTTAGTTGAATAAACTGATTGATTACAAAATAAATTGTGATGAATGGAAATGCAATGAATGTTGACGTAAAATAAATCTATTTAGACTATCCATTGAAATGTGCTAAATTCATTCGGTAGTACTCAAACTACTGGCAGGATAGATTGGTGTTGATAGTAAATTGTATTAAACTATTATTACAAGCAATGTATGACTACCAAAAATAAAGGAATAACTAGTTTGATATTGTGTTGAATAAGCAATTCATTTCCAATGGGAAACGCAACGACTATTCAACTATTATTTATTCCAAAAAGACAGTTTACTGATTCAAGTTTATTTCCACTCCATGCAATACACAAACAGATACCGTTTGCGTTCGTCAATTGAATCCGGCAGTAAATCGATTTCATCTATTGGAACATGACTCCAAAACAAATCATCACAGGAGCCAGATCCAATAGGAACTTGAACTACTAGTTTTCTTTCAACTCTGAATCCGTATTCAGAGTCTGCTTTTGAAAAGAAAGCTTCCATTACAGCTCGACCTGAATGTAGACCCGCTACGGCCCAGATGGTTCCAGATGGATTTAAAAGAGATTGCAAGTCTTTTAAAAGATTATCATGCTGATGACGCATCCAAAACGTATCAGCCAGCAAGATCACATCAAAAGCCGGCATGATAGTGGGTTCAGACGGATCAAGTTTAGAAACATCAAGAACATCAGTATGCATGGCGGCAGCGTTGAGATGATGAGTCCATTCACCCCATACATGACCTTTGACTATCCATCGATCCTTTAGATTTGCAGCAAGGTTTGTTTCTAGGTTTTTATTGAGAGTAGCCAGAATAGCAGGATCGGGATAGTCACTAGAAACTACTCGAGAAGCACCTAATTGAACAGCAAGGATACTTGGTAATCCAGTACCAGCACCCAATTCAAGCACTGTTTTGTCTGTGAATTTGTCCATACAAATGATGGGAGTGGTCGAATCATCTGGAGGTGCAACCATGATTCGGGATAAAAGAATGGATGCTTTCCATAGATGATGAGCAAATAGAGAAGTGTTTTTTGCAGCCGAGTCAGGAATATGAATATGAATTGGATTGCATCGAGTAGGAATGGAAATTGGAATCAGTGAGCCTGGCCCACCCAAGTTGATTTCTGGAATATCAAATAGCACAGAGAAACCTGTTTCAAAGACTTGGAATGTGTCGGTCATGATCGAGTTGTAGTTTTAATTTACAATCGGATTCACGTAAAAATGGAATACTTTTTGTATTGATTTCTTTTGGAATATCAAATCATTATAGTCTCGTTTATCCTTGATTATCTTTAATTATCCTTGATTATCAGTCATACCTTTTATAATCATCAAATTCACAACAATTCAGATATTGGTTTAATGATATCATCACTATTGTATTCTAAAATCATAATCACGTCTAGTTCAACAATCTCTTTGACTGTTTCCATGACAATCACCAAAACAGTCAAAGAGTTTACAGCATATTGTCTAGTAAATCAATAACAATCAACTTAAACACTTGTTTTATTCTGCGTGAATATGACTGTAAATTCAACAAATTCAACAAATTCAACTTGACTTTAAACTCGAATACATTCGAGTTTACTTTGAACAGAATGGACGCAGCTGATTACACTAAACTAGTGATTGCTAGACAGAATGTATTATGTTCTTCAGAGTTGAACTGTATTGATCCACCTACTGGATTTTTATTCATAGCAAGAAAACCTGGCAGTCAATATGAGATTGCTTTATGCTGGATGGCCTTGAATGCCATTCCCACTTCTGAATTGCCTGCATTCGTCGCTGCATCCAGTTCTAACTCGTCCATGTCTTCTACTCGTTTCATTCCTCAAACTCCTTCAGGCATGTAAATGCAATTCTCGCATTAACAAGAAGATTGACGTGGCAGTTGAGCCAACTAATTGTTATTGTAGATTCAGCATTACAGGAACAGTCACCAGTTGCTGCTCAGACTTCTCTCGTAGGATCCTTGTCTGTTACTACTGTTCCAAAGTCTCTTTGTGCTGCTACGGATACCATCCAATCACTCACTCTTTCTCCTATTCTAACCCTATCTCGTGGTCATGAAGCCTGTGTTCAACAACTCGTTATCGGCATGCAGGATGGTTCAAAATGGCCTCCACTTCAAATGGATGCATTCGGAAATGAAAAGAATCCTCCATCCATGACTGAAACGGTTCAAATCTTGCGTCGCTGCTTTCGTCGTGTGGGAAAAGATATTGTTGGGTACAAGATTTAAGCTTGTTGGATACTCTTGAATAGTAGTTTATTATCTAATCTTGTTTGATATTTAGATGCGATGTTCCCAATGTATATTTTGTGTCGGATAAGTTGTCTGTTGCTCCAACTCGCTGGCCTGATGTACTTCCCCATCCACAAGAATCCTCTATTATTTATAAAGCGGGTGCATTTGGAATGGATGTTGTATCTAGTATTGTTGGGCGACCCATTGCAACAAAGATCGAGGATGTGGGTTGGGATATGCTTGAACAATTTGCAAAAGTCACTACATTTGCTAAAGCAAAAACATCTCGAGCTTTGGAGCATCCGCTTGCTCGCCCCTTTCTGCCTTATGTTCCCGAACAAATTAGATCCATCTTTTTATCCTCTGCCGAGGCTGAAGCGTTGCTTAACGATTACGATTCGGCTGGAAGATATTTGGAGCAGTTTGCTCAGGATTTTCAACGGCAGATTACTCGAAGAATATCCAGGGCTGGATCTCCTCAAAATACTGAATCTTTTATTATTGAGTATGACCAAACTAGGTCATACGAGGCCATTTCAGCTGTTTATACAGCTCATTTCTCTGGATTTCCATTGACAATGGAAGAATGGATGTCATGGCAATCCAATCAAACCAATCTTTTAAAGTACAAGGATCTATTCTATGCTCGAATCTTTTCTGGAGTATGTTTTAAATTGTATAATCATTGCATTTTAGGTTTACTATTCCATAGATTTGAAACCAACACGATCATTTACTGTTATTTAAAACTAGGGTATTGAACCAGCAGTCAGACCTATGGCATGGAAGTATTTGCTCAAATCATACTCGTTTGCAGACACCTTGCAAGACCAAACAGAAATCTCAGCCAAGCGACGCGAGCAGTACTTCAATCTGAAAATGTCATGGATGGAAGTCATAGAAACATCGACTGATGAGCATTCACCTAAACTTGACAATGGCCCAGTAGGAGACGAAAATGAAGATGCTGATCTCTTTTCCAAAATCCGCGAAAGAAAGTATAGGGTTGGTAGGTCGTACTTTGTCGTTTTCAAGAAAATTGAAAATGCTTGTGCTGATGACTATTTATTATAGAAAAAGATGCCGTCCGCACAGATAGAAACACACCGTATTACGAGTCTGCCTCTGAAGATGGTCCTTTGTTTGCTGGGTTGCATGTAGGGGATGGACTGGTTACTCTCCGCGACGTTTTAATGACCTATACCATTTACAATTTTGATCTCGGTAAATCATGCTGTTTTGAAATTTTTCTGGATCAATTTGTAGGCTAAAAATAGTGTGTTGATTTTAGGATATGTGCAGGGCATGAGTGATCTTTGCTCGCCTATTCTGGAAGTCATGGATGACGAAGTTGAAACATTTTGGGTTTTTTGTGAGTATATGGAAAAAATGGTGAGCACTTTGATTTGGTATTTATTGAAGCATCATAAAACAGATGATCAGAAATGTCTGTATTCATGTATTGATTCTTGAACGTGTTTAGAACAGTCACTTTTCACGCAATCAGCTGGGTATGCAACTGGAGCTTCGTCGGCTTGAACTCTTGTTGAAACTGATTGATCCACCACTCTATCGACACATGGGTAAACTTTTTACTGAATCATATAACTATTGATAATCTGCCTGATACTTACTGATTATAACACACTGTTTTCTATCTGATTTTTGATTTAGAACAAACTGATTCTGTCAACATGTTTTGCTGTTTCCGCTGGCTTCTCATTTGTTTCAAGCGTGAGTTTCCCTTTCAAGAGATAAAAACTCTATGGGAAGTGATCTGGTCGTGTCCTTTGACCACCCATTTTCATCTTTTTGTGGCTGTTGGAATTTTGAACATGAACAGAGATCAACTATTTCATCAGCAGGCGTTTGACGAGGTATTAAAGTTCATCAATGGGTTGTCGGATAAAATACCTGTACCTGAAACTGTTGGTGCTGGCCAAGTGCTACTTTATTTGGCGAGAGATCTGTTTTCCATGTATGCACCTTCCGAATTATGTGTACATTTACCTGCTTTGCCCTCCATTGATGCGATGCTCAAAAACCCTGATCTTTCTGTCGATGCGTCTATCGAGCACACCGAAGCAAAAGTCGTGGAATGTGACTTATCAGACGACCGAAAAAAGCTTATGCAATATTGGAAGAATGACATGGACGATATTTCTTTTGAAGAATGGACCGAAATTATGCAATTGTTTATTGCACCAACACTTTAGCCATTGAATTCCAACCGTATTCACGTAAAATGAAACATCAAAATACATAAACAATCTCATGTTTAATTGGTGGTAATCTCATTGGGCAACATTGGTTTTAAACTCATTAAATGACTAGTCTTTGTGCTTGTTCTTGTATAGAAATACAAAGCGAATGTGTGATTAGAATAGAATTTCTAGAAAAATCAATTTATTTAGTATCCATTTCCTGAGGATGTGATTGGGATGGTCAAGCGAGTTTCTATTCTCAACTTTAACGAATGCAAAATGACAATCGACGAGCAACAACCAGACCAACCAAAACATGTTCTCCAACAATACAAAAAGCCAGTTGTAGGGTTACTTGCATTAGTAGGACTTGGATTCATGATCAGAACTGTTCGTCGTCGAGCAGGTAAATGCATTTGTGCAACTCCACATGAAATACAATCTAACCTTGTTTTTTTATTAGCCAATAACAGATTGTTTGATCAAACTATTGCACAAAACTCGGTTTTGAATCCACGTCATGGAGCTTACATTTTTGCTATTCAGACATTCACAACAGCGACAACGCTTGTTGGATGCGCTGCAGTGGCAATCAGCATGACAGTAGCTTCGGTCATGAACGTTAATTCTGTAAGTATATCTTGCATTGAAACCTCAACTCACAATCAAAATCATTAATGCATTGAATAGTTTCAAGAATTCTCGGTTGCTATACGAAGTTTTACACAGGAAAAAGTTCCTTGGCTGCAGGTTTCAGGAGATGAAGATTCACCCGAGAATATTCAATCCACAAAAGAGTTTATGGAAGAGTTGGCGCGAGAGTACGAGATTGACGAGGAAGGGTATAAAGAAACTCCTACAAATCTGTTTTTGAAAAGCATAGTCAAGAAGGAGATGGGTCCGCTGGTGAAATAAAACTGCATCCTTTTTAGATCTTCATGTCTATTTCCACCATGTTTAAAATGCCTTGAACCAGCAGATTAAGCTGAACAATACTGGAAATTGTTGTATACAGATATATCTTGAAATTGACATCGTAAATACCAGTTGCATTTATTCAATACGAAGGTTCTTTTTGAGTTTAATAATCAATGCCCAGTCGTCACGACTCATATCCTTTCTAAATGTTGTCTTGAGTACATCGATCGATGCTCGTGTCACCTAAAAATGTTCCAAAACATCAGCTTGCATCGATTTACAAATAATCAAACACATCACAACTCTACCTGAGCATAAATCTCATTGGCTTCGGTGAAATGACGACCATAGGCTTTGGGAGTTTCATACGCAGCACCTTCAATACGAACAGCAACCGCTGGATCGCCTTTTTTGATTTCCATTTTTGATTTATGGTTGAGCTCAATGCCAGTAACCTTGCCTAATCCAATGACTGCCTGCGTCTAATAAAAAGTGGTTTAAAAACAGTCATCAGGATATTCTTTTCAATTTCATATGGCATAAACACCTACCTCCTTGTTGACGACACATAACGGTGTGCCAACTTTGAGTGTTCCTTCAATCACATCAACACCAATGAGAATTGGACTTCGCTTATTAAAGACAGCACCGTTGATCATTTTCAACACACACGGGAATACTGCCATGGGTGCAGCATCCTTTCGTTTCTGCTCTTCGATTTGTTTCATGTATGCAGTGAACGAATCAAACAGATGATAGATGATATCTGCAGAAAAGATACGCACACCCATCTCAGTTGCCAATTCAGCCGCGTCTTTATCAATAGGCACATCAAATGCTAAAAGCTGGGCATATTCAGGTGCGCGTTCGAGCATGACAGATGTGCGAATAATATCCTTTTTATGCACAGGACCGATGTTGATACCAGAGACGGGAATGTTGGATGATTTTAAAAACGACAAGAGCGCTTCAAGTGAGCCAAGAGTAGATGCTTGCACACATACACCTTTTCCAGACTTGTCAATGGATGACATGAGGTTGGTCAGATCACCCATCACATCGTCACGGATTTCGTCCTCATCATCATCCTCTCCAATAACCAACAGCCTTGATCCAGCAATCGCCTTGTCTAAATCTGCTGCACTGATTTTAATTCCCAAAGAAGCCTTGACTGATTTGTTGTGTACGTAGGCAGATTTTACACGAAGTTCTCGCATAGGTTGAGGAGTCAGCAACGCACGAACTGTAGTTACAATGGGTCCGTTAAGACCACATACACAAATACGATCGCCTTCGTTTAAAACACCATTGGAAAGCACTACATCAATTGTGGTTCCTAGTCCTTCAATGACTTTGACTTCAAGAACCGTGCATTCAAGTTCAGAAAGGTACATGAGACGCTCAGTCATACGAGTTTGAGTAAGGTCCACGAGCAAATGAAGTAGATCGGGTATACCTTCACCCGTAATTGCAGAGGTGGGAACAAGAGAAACATACTTGCTCATGTTTTTGTTTTCCCAGTACAAACAAGCATTAAGTCCCTGCTCAGCAAACTCAATCTGAACTTTTTTTACACGGTCGTTAAACTCATTGATGACGTGAGGTGCTTGCAGTTTAAGAGTATCCCGAGTCGGATAATCAGGATACGTTTTCCAGTCAAACAATCGATCAATCTTATTCAATGCAACAATAAAAGGCGTTTTACGCTGTCGAAGCATGCCAAGGGATTCAAGTGTCTGAGGCTCTAATCCGTGGACAATATCCACAACCAACACGGCAATGTTGCACAAGGAAGAACCACGGGTACGCAGATTGGTAAAAGATTCGTGACCAGGGGTATCGATAATCAAAAGCCCAGGAATACGATAATCAGGAGGACCGTCTTTGTGCATCATGGCCGTTTTAATCTTAATAGCGTCCATGGGAAAGTAAGTCGCACCGATTTGCTGAGTGATACCACCCGCCTCACCTTCCTGAACATTAGTTTGACGAATTTTGTCAAGAAGTTTGGTATTATGAGTGACTGTAAAGTCACCAAGAAGAAAGCGCGAGTTGGGACCCATCACAGTAAAACCAAAGTATTCACCACATCCAATTGACTCGATTTCAAATTCACAGGCATTAGATTTGACGTTCAGCCAAGAGTCAATAGAAACGACTGAAGTGGTTTTTAAAGAGTCGTTGCTAATAAGCTCCGAAACGTAATGCATTCGCGGTCCGCTGATGCGAATTTGAAGTGTTTTGACCGACACTTGTTGAGTCATGGTGGCAGGAGTAACTGTGTTGACACACAAACCAAGAGAGCTACTCAAGCGCTTGATATTTTCAAAAATCATGTTGTTCTTGCAAGATATATCCCAGTGTTTAGGGGTATCTTTGACAATACTGAATGCATTAGAGCCTTCAACCAAACCTGCAAGCAGAGCAGCGCGATGCAATTTGGACGATCGCAATAGCGCATCGGGAATGCACTCGGCCGATTCTATTCCCAAAGATTTGAAAAGTAACCCAAACTTGTCGCCAAGAGCAATAATGGTTGGTTTAGAAATATCAGCCACGCCTTCGTCAAGCTGATTGGTAAAGGAAATGGATAGCTTTTGAGAGTGGGAATGTAGAGTTTTAATCAGAGGATGCAGATGATCTATACCAGAAAGTATCAGAACAGGGTTTCCAGCAGTATCAACATCACCAAGCAAAATCCAAAGACCAATACACCACATGACTGCGTGTTCAAGATTTGGAACAGATTCAACACCGAAATGCTGCATAATATTCAAATTTGTGGTGGTAGGATACTCGATACCACCAGCAGGTTTATATATCATAAAATGTTGTCGAAGATCAGCATCAACAGCAAGGTATTCTAAAACACTGATTTCCCAAATAAGCAAAGTCCATGCTGGAAGGGCCTTGGTCGCTTCTACAGCAGAAGCAAAATTACCACTGGATCGAACAGTAGGAATATTTCCTATACAGACAACCTCGGAAACATGAAATTGATCTACACCATCAATAACAGTCTGGCTCACCCATGGCTGCTTGACATTCACCATCACCAAAATATGTTCCTTGTTGCATACAAATGCATCATGACCATTAGCATTTTTGGGTACAACGCGGTAGAGAGCACCAGATTCGTGCACTAATGACCGTTCCTGGACAATACGGGGAGTACAGTCATCACCCATCAACTGATCTAAAGCTTTGATATCCTGAACAAATTTGGTAGTACCATCGGCCATGAGAAGCGGAGTGTCGCGTCCAAAGCATTTGCCAGTATCGACATGTCCAAGAATACAGCAAATGGGAGAGCGCAGATCGTCCTTGGATCGAGCAGCCATGGCAGCTTGAATTCTTGCCTTGCGCCTAGCGGCAGCTTCTTCCTTGCGAGCCTGTTCTTGCTTTTGTGCAGTAGTTTGCTGTCCATCGTTGGAGTCCTGATCTGAACTGTCGTCGCTACTAGAATCGTCGTCGCTGTTCTCTTCTTCATCTTCGCTAGACTCTTGATCAGATTGGTCCTTTTGAGCATGTTGTGAGGTATTTGATGAAGCGGTATTTGCAACAGCAGTCGCTTTTTTGGCGTCAGAAGCAGGTTTGACTAAAAAAACATTAATAAAAAGCATCGAGAATAACATAAAATAGTACTAGCAGTCTATACAAAAAAATATACCTGTTGCAGATTGATTCACTTTCTTTGCAACTGGTTTGACAAGAGTTTCTTCTTTGTCAGAATCATCCCATTTTTCAGCAACATCTTGGTCGGAATCAGCATCCCAGCTATCCTTGATACCATCATCGATTTTGGCTGGTAAATCTGACGCTTCTTTATCCGAAGGCGCATCCCAGTCATCCACCGGTTCATCAGCATCTTTTTTTTCCTCGACCGGTTTTGAGACCACTGGCTCGAGAGCAGTAGTTGAAGCGGACGTAGTATTTTTGCTGGGTTTTTTTCTTCCATAAACAATCTTTTTAGGCTTTTCATTGGAAGTTGTGTCCAAAGCAGCAACCTTGACACCAGATGCCAGCATAACCTCCAGTTTTGCACGAGCCTGAACCTGAGCAGCCTTTTGAGCAGGAGTCAAATACTTTCCCTGCCTTTTCAGCTCTTCTTTTTTCAACTGATATCAATTTGTAATTCAAGACAAACGTGTTAATACAAGACAATAATGTATATTTGATATCCAAGTATGACTAGATCTGAGCTCAATACTTGCCCTTTCGCGCTCCTTTTTGGCCATCCTAGCTTCATCCTTGATCCGTTGTTGCTCCTCGATAAGAAGTTGCTCTTTTTCAATACGAATCCTTTCCTCCTCTTCAAGACGTTTTGCTTCTTCTTCGGCAGCCCTGCGTGCAGCCATCATTTCACGAAGAGCAGCAACAGGTGCACCACCCTTTCGTTTACTAGGAGCAGCGGGAGCAGCAACAGGAGTAACAACAACAGGAGTGGGATCAGGAATGACATCAGCAGTGACATCTGGAGTCTTTTCAGGAGCACTAATAGTAGTAGATTGTTGTTTTTTTACAAGCTTTTGTCGCTCCTTTCGCTCTCGTTCCTTTTCCTTTTTGGATTTGATACGATTGGGATTGTCCTGAGCATCGTCCAAGATAGATGACGTGGTTTTGGCAGTGGATGAAGTTTCAGTGGACACAGGAGTCGATGCAACAGCGATTCCCTCAATCTCAGCAGCCAACAAGTCCATTTCATCATCAAAACTAGTCTTTTGTTTCTTTCCTTTTTTGCCCTTTTTACCACTTGCAATCACCAATGGTTCCTCAAGCACAGGACTAATTGGATCTGGTTCAACATCATCTTGTAGATCGACAGTATCTTCGTTATCAAGAGCAGCAAACGTGATTGCGGATTTATTCTTTTTCCCTTTCTTTGCAGTAGCAACAGGAGTATCTTCATTCGTATTATCCATCTCAGCATCCAAAGCAGTCAAGATTGCAGCAGCATCTTCCTCGTCCTCATCGTTTCTACGATTCTTTTTACTCTTTTTTTGCTTGTTCTTTCCTCTAGTCGATGCAAGCATGGACATAAGACCACCAAGGTCATTTCCATCTTCATCCTGGTTAAAAGTCTGAGATTCTTGCTCGTCATTTTCTATCGCTGCCAAGACAGAAAACGAAGATGCATTAGTGGATTTTGACGCTGGATTGACGGCTGCAGACTTTACAGCCAATGCATTCCATTCGTCATCAGAATCCGCCCCTTTACTAACAATATCAACACATTCATAAATCAGAATTTGAATTCAGTCTTCAACTCATTGCATTTCAAGCAGTCTTACTTGGCAGTCTTTTTGTTCTTCTTGACCATAATGGAATTGAAAATAAAAGCGAAAAAACGGCTTGAAATTTCACGAATTTAAAGCCAAACCAACTGATAATCCATCGTATAAGATTATCAATCCGATTTAATATCGAATTTAGTATGAATTCATATTGAATTTCTTTACAAGTGAAGATTCATATTAAAATGGAATCAAATGAGCGATGTCAGGGTCAGATTCTGGAATCAAAACCATTCATTCGGATTTAATTTTATTTCTTCTTACACATTCTCATTATCTGCAAAAATAGTTGTTAATTAGTATGGATCAAGCCAAACCACTTCGTATTGGAGTTCTTGGTGAGTGATAACAATGTAAACTGTGTTGATATTATTTCTGATACGTTTCAACTTGTAGCACTTCAAGGTGCATTCAGTGAGCATATCAATATCCTTAACCGAATGAGCCAATGGGTTGATATGGCAATTCCTATTCGCACAAAAGAACAGCTGGAGAATTCTTGTTTGGATGCATTGATTCTACCAGGAGGAGAGTCAACTGCTATTGCATTGGCTGCAGAACGGAATGGATTGATGGAACCTTTACGACAGTGGGTACGATCGGGAAACCCCATTTGGGTAAGTTCATTTTATACATTTTAAAGTCATATTTCATGTAAAATGAACACTTTATTTTCCTATTAAACAATGAGTTGGACAAACTCTTTGAAACACAATCATTTCTTGTGTAATCTTCAAGTTTGTTTAATTCAATTCAATATTGGATTGCTTTCAAGTCTATAAACTCCTCTGTATCCTCACATCAGAATATTCGCGTTCTAGTTTAAAAACTTGATTCTAGTTTGTAAAGATGACTTGATTGCAATCGAGTATTGATTTAAATGTCATGATTAGGGAACTTGTGCTGGAATGATTCTTTTGTCAGATACGGCTCAAGGAACTAAAGAAGGCGGACAAGAGTTGATTGGCGGTCTTCATGTTCAGGTTAAACGCAATGCATTCGGTCATCAGTTGGATTCATTTGTGGAATGCATTGATATTCCTGTTATTGGTGATACTCCTTTTCAGGCTGTTTTTATTCGTGCTCCGTTGATTTCTTCTATTTGTGTGGATGAAATGGCTAAACATGTCACGACTGCTCCTGTACAGATACTTGCTCGAGTTCCTTCAAAGGATAATTGTATTGTCGCTGTTCAGCAAGGCAATATTCTTGCTACATCGTTTCATCCTGAACTCACCCAGGACACTCGATTCCACCAGTACTTTGTCAAGTTTTCCCAGGAAATAGTTTTAAATAAACTCAAAGATCAAGAATACATCTCCAGCTTGTGCTTTTAAAAAACTATTTATAACATTTAAAAACAAAAACGATCCACATAAAATGGGTGGTGTTTATTCCTGACCTGCGCTAGCAACAGGGAATACAAAAACAACATCTTTGCCAGTCAGCTTTTTGTAAATGGCATAAAAGGTGTCAAGCTTGTATTCGAGCGATGTGTGATCCTTGCGATCAAGGAAACTATTATTTTATACAAAAATTCAATCAGGTTAGAAGCGTGATGCATGACAAGATCCAACACAATTCAACTTACACTTTGATGAGCTTGCTACCATCAATGCGAACCTTGGTGCGCTTTCCGACAATCTCAGTGGGATAGACAAGATCCTCAAGAATCTTTTCATGAACAGCAGTGAGAGTACGAGATCGAGGACGCTGTTGAGTCAGGCGTGTCTTGTGATCGGGCTTCCTGAGAATGCGACGCTGGGCAATGAGGAGAACATGGAAATCGGAAAACTTCTTCTCAAGCTCACGGACAAGACGAGTCTGAACCTTGTGGAACTGCTTGATTTGGGGAACAGGCACAAAGATGACAATAGCCTTGCGACCACGACCAATGTCAATCTACAAAAATTAAAACCCATCCAATGAGTAGCGTTAATAAGAGTATTTAGTCTGATAATTCAAGACAAGCTAAATCGACACACCTCCTTGGCAGCAGTGAACTGGAGACCACGGAGATCAGCACTGAGCTCAGCAACATTGTGTTCAAGATCGAACAAGTTCTGAGCAACCTGAAGCTCAAGTTCGTCGGGCTGAACGCCGGTAGGCTTAAGGATCTTTGAACGAGCGCTCATGGCTAGTCAAACCAAAAACAATGAAACATGGTTAGTGCCTGACTCTCCAAACAAACAGAACATCCAACAGTGAAGCAAAGGCTTGAGACACTCCAAAGTTTTGATGTATTCCATGTAAGCCCGACACATACAACACACAGTGCAAGTTGAATGTTTGCTGAAAGCCATTGAATATTGAATTCAAAAGATCGTTTGCGACAGTTATAGTTGGCATGACTTTTGACTGTAGAATATCAAATTGCTATTCTCAGATACATGCAGTCAAGACATTTTATCTGCTGCTGCTGCGGTATTGCTATTCAACAACACACTCGATTTTTGGAATGCTCGACTCGCAACACTCGGACACAAACCATCCATCCATGCACAAACGATCCTGTCTCAAGGATGCGTGGATGTGTGCTGTATGTGTCCATCCTTGTCTCACCAAGTCATGGTCAATTGCTCACCTTTCTGATTGTGTGACGCGCAAACCATCGACAACTTCAACATTTTGATCCAAGTTCAGTCACGTGTGTATTCAACTTTAATCACGTGTTTATTTCAAATCTCGCCATCAAAATCTATCTCGCTCGACCTTTGCCCTTGTCTCGTTTTTTGACTGGCTCTTGCTTTTTTTGAAACTGGTCGCGAAGTCTTTCATATCGTGCCAGTTCTTCAACAGATACGGATGGTACCAACTCCTCTAAAGCCAACTTAAAATCAGATATCTGCACCAGTACGCGAGATTCCTCTTCTGTAGCAAAATGATCGAGATAATATTGTGGTGTAAATGGGTACGGATGATCAGGAATTGCTCCTGCGTTATTCATCTCCTCTAAACAGATAGTGTACAACCATAAACATTTGGAAATGTCAGTCTGGTATCAACAACAGATAGTCTGGCAATACAAAACAGTGCTTTTGGCATTTACCCAGTCGTGAATCCACATGTGCAATCGTTCTAGTCATGGCTTTTAAAAGCGCATCTGAACAAAGAGCGTAGAAATCTGCGCCCGTGTAGTTGAATGGACATATGTTTGCCACATCTCTGAGATTGGTATCGGGTGCAAAATTAAATCTAGAATAAAGTCGTTAAACATATATCTACATATTACCAAGTACAATACTACCTTACTTTCTAGTCAAAGCTGTCAGTACTTTAAATTGAGCATCATGATTGTCGGCAATGCCAAGATACAGTAGCTCGTCAAATCTAGACACGATAGTTTGAATTTTGTAAAGTTTAGTACGCATCGCATCATTTGAAATACAATTGCCAATAAACATACCTTCCAGGTCGCAGCAAAGCCGGATCAAGTAAATCAGGCCGATTTGTAGCAGCAATCACAAATACATCTGAAGCGCCATGACTTCCTACATCTGCCATTCCATCCAATTCTGCCAACAACTGACTTACAATACGATCCATCACGCCTCCAGAATCACCCTTTTCTCCTCTTTTTGGAGCAACGCTATCCAACTCATCAAAAAACACTACACACGGTCTAGCATCTCTTGCTCGCTGAAACACCCTCCTTACATTAGCTTCTGACTCGCCAATATACATATCAAGTAGTTCAGGGCCTTTGACAGAAAAGAAATTAAGCGAAAGAGTTGTTGCTACTGCTTTGGCTACGAGGGTTTTACCAGTGCCAGGTGGGCCATAAAGAAGAATACCTGATCGACGTTTTGCCCCAAAAGCAAAAAGTTCAGGATGATCAAGGGGAAGTCGAATGGTTTCAATAATGGCTTCCTTGACATGACCTAATCCACCAATATCTTCCCATTGTACGTTGGGAATTCGCGGTGCACCAATCATTTCAGAATGGTTTGCTCTTGCCAAATCAAGTGCTTTAGATATATCCACAGCGGAAAGCGTCACGCCAGCCAAAAGTAGATCGTCTGCAGTTACAGATGGCATGACAGGCTCAAGACTATCGGCACCAAATGTGCAGTAAAATCACATGTTATCATTGTCAATTTCAGTTATAAAAACACTCGAGTCTTGAAACACAATCTTACATTGCATTGTCTATTCTCTTGATCGTTTCAATCCCAGCAGTAGAAATTAACCTTGCAATATTTCGTGCTGAAAATCCAGCAGTTTGAATCGCAATATGGTCAATATGTACATCATTGGATACATCCACGTCATCCAACAATGATGCAATCAAGGATTTCCGCTGTGTTTGCGACAAAGTCTAGCAAGTATAGTATTAAAACAACCTGATTTCAAAAAAAATCCAAGTGATGAATCAACTTTTGTGTTTAAACCTACCTGACATTTCATATCAAATCGAAATAGTCGTCGGATTGACGCATGAACTTTTTCGATATCATGTGTGGTGGCAATCACCAAAATCGGGCCATGATTTTCTTTTCCTTTCTTACTAGTTAGCTTGTTGAGTGACGCAAAGAAAGCGTCTTTAAATTCAATGGGTGTTTCAGATGACTGCTGTGGATTTCCACCTAATCCTTGACATACAGCATCTAAATGTCTTAAAAGAATCACGCTCGGTGCACATTCAATTGCACGATCAACGCATATTTCCAGTAACGCCAGAGATTTTGTCATGGGCTCGCGAGTAAGATCATAACAGTTGAACTCGACTACATGTAATCCTAGTACACGACATAATTGAAGTGCTAGTATACGTTTGCCTACACCTGTTGCTCCATGAAGCAATAGAGTACAAGGAAACCTCGAATGCAAGTCAGTTACTGCAAGATATGTACTGCAAATATCTACCAGTTCATCAAAACAGGAATGCACAATCGTTGTGTATTTTGAAATGGCGGTACCACTTGGATCTGCATCAACAAAATGTCAAAATATAGTTGGTAATTATAATACTGAATAAACTATCAAATAAAATAACGCACTTGAGTTTTCAGGAAGTCTTGAATGCACCAATCCAGTTTGAACAACCTTTGTGATTTGGCTATCCACAACAGCTGTTTGCAACGCTCCTTTGCATGATTTAATACTCGATACTTCAAAGTAGTAATAATCTACAAAAGCTCCAGAAACAAACCTAATGCCAACAATTCAAGTCAAAGTCTGGTATTTAAATCAACAGTATAATTCAACAAAGCTTACTTTATGTCCTTTTTTAGCTCTAAATTCTGCAATGCCATTTTTTCTTTGATCATGGATGAGATACCTATATATACTATGATTAGTAAAATAAATTGAAAAGGTGCTGTAAAGTCGATATATTCCATGTTATAAGCATACCATCTACAGGAACAGCTATCCAATCGCCCTGGCTCACCAAACGCTTTTTTTTGGAAAGCATATTGGCAAGCTCGATCAATGCAATATCCAAGTAACCACGATGATTTGAGTAGGGTGAACATACTCTAGCAAGCGTGATTTCGCTAGCAACAGGTATATCAGATAGCTCCAAACGATCGGTGGGTGTATATATACCTACCATAATGGGCTCAGATGTCCATTGTGAAAGAGGAGATACATTCCGTAGTAAAAGTGGAGAAGCTTTAGAGACCATAGAATGCTCTGTACTAACGTGATCATTACTACAGCCATATATCTGCACCAGATATTTGTCGTGACGTGGTTGATCTATTGCTTGGATATAAACCCAATCACCATTGCAAAGTCCAAATTCCACTAGAAATGCCATGGATACACAGATGGAACGATCATCCATTTTTGTAAAACACTTGTCAGTATGACATTGGAGAACTAGATTGCCCATATAAACATTGGTAATGGTCATCACGTTGCCATGAGCAAATTCTGCCTGATAAATACAATTGTGTTGATCGTCCAAATGAATAGCTTGAACATTGGAATCTAAAGCGGGAGTATGTGGCAATGATTCGTCCAAATGAACAAAAACAACGTCAGTTTCGACGACTATAATTCCCTGCATGACCGGATCGCATGCAAGCACTCGATACGTATATGTTAAAGTAGAATCTGGCGAGTCGACACAAACTAGAGATCCCACTCTGATGACTGTATTGCTGGCCATGAGCTGCCCGCTTACATATTCCGGATCTATGACAAGAATAAAATTAAAATCCTACATTACTTTTTCAACTACTATTTCAAACAGTACCTTGAAATGCGAATTGAGATGAAGCTTGATCCAGTGCATTCAAAATAACAGAATTTAGATTCAAAATAGATACAGGAATGACCGTGCATTCAAGGTCTTTTCCATCATCAATCGCATGAATCAATTCCTTGTGCATAATGTTATTTTTTATAAAATGATTGGATATCCATATAGTATTGGTATCATCAATACCACATGATGTTGATGAGATATGAGCAAAAACAGTGAGAGTTGAATCCACATCTGCAGATGCTTCGGTTCGAGTAGAATCCAGTACAGATGGTAGAAGAATAGCAACTCCAATACACTCTGTTGAATGCAATAAAGCATCGTCAGAATTGATGCTGTCCTGCTTATTGGGATTTAAATAGAATGATTTTGCTGCTTGACTTAATGATCTCCATAACGATGCATTAGCAGTGATGTCCAACGCATCGCTTTCAAGCGATGATTTCAAACGACATGCAATTCTGGGTCGTTTGTCCAGCGACAAGAGTGGACTCGACTGTTCTTGATTTCCTGATATTAGAATCATGCAATCAATATTTAAATCATTCGTCTAGTCATGATTTCATTGCAAGAAACAAGACACTTGCCTGTCATGAACGATCAATGCTTGTCATTCGTATGGAAAACTGCAATGTTAGTATGAAATCAGATGTGGTTGAAGATGAGCAACACTCACTATTTTTGGTATATTTCAAGCGTATCGAGTATAAAGAAAAAGTCATAAACTGCAGCTGATTACAAGTTTAATGGCGACTAAAGTGTCAATGAACATGAAAACATGAAATATATATTTTTATAAAAAACTCCACTTTCATGTTTAAACATTCTGGAAACGAGTTTTTTGTCTGTAAATTACACGATGAACTTGAGTTGGCGTGCAGATTCTTTATTGTTGAAAATCAGTTGTGCAAATGCAAGAAGTTGTAGATTCTCAATCTCACTCTTATTCAGACGTGCAATGGCCAGAATCAACCCGATTGTAGCTTTACAACTAGACGTTCGCGTGAAGATTTCAGTCTGTTAATCTTGCTCATGTATGAAGAATAATGATGTTGATTCGCCTCTAAACTATGAGTGCAAGATCGCAACTACCGAAACAACAACATCGACCATGCACAAGTGTGGTGAAGTCAAGTTTACACGAGTACATGATATACACGATAATTGCTAACCAGAAATTGTGACAAATCAATCATTTGTCATGACTAAACTGACATAATATCAGTCAAATCCCATGCATTATACATTCCAATCATAAAAGCTGACAGTTATTAAAGTTTTGAATCGTTTATTTAAAGCAACCATCCTATTTTACTACAGATCAATATTCTGAATCAACATATAAACCGAGATGCAATCCAGTTGATTCATATCAAGAAAATAATTTCCATCTTCTATTAAATGGATTAAACCTATTGAAATTCTCGGATGCAAGGGTTGTAGTTTGCCCATCTACCAGCTGTTCTTCATCACCCTCAGTGGATATCCTCAATCTCGTATTCTCGCTCAGTATTTCTGGATTTAAATTCACTTGCGATGTCTGTCCAGATGACATGGCACTTTCCGCAAAAAGAATATCCGTCATTAATCCGGGTGTCAACCCAACTGAACATATCAGTTCATCTTGCGAATAGATCGTGGCCAGCAGATCCTTCTTTGTAACAAGTCCTTTAAGACATCCAGCTTCTTTTACAATAATGACACGCGGTCCAAGTTTCTTGAACATATCCTGTGTTGTACGTCAGAGTATTCAATCAAACAGGTGATGAGTGGCTATTAAAAGAATCCAAAGTCTTGGAAAATTCCATCACAAAAAAACCATTGATACTCACAATTACAAATTCAATCGGTACAGAGGGATCAACGCCAAGTGGAGTCTATCATTTACAACAGCATCATAAGTACTACAATTTGCTTTCTACAAACAACTTGAATGATTGACATACCTGATCAACATAGTATGCAAGATTGACTGTATCTGCTGTTGATGGATTGGTATTAGAGCTACCAAATCCAGGTGTGTCCGCTGTCGGTACAATGAAAGATTCGCTTTCATTAGCAGGAGTAGACCAAAAATCTGGATTGTCAAAGAAAACTACAGTATGTGCAGCAATAGTATGATGCATCTTTGCTTTTTCTATATAAAATATACAGGATTCAGTTTTAAGCACCAGGATTCATGCATCAGATGGAATTAAACTATACATGTACAGAAATCCACTTTACCGATTGCGTATAAAAGATCGCCTCGTGTGATATATCCAACAATGCTCGTATCTTGATCCGATTGAATAATTGGAAATCCTTGATAGTCATAAGAGTCGAGTAAAGCCTCTACAAACCCCATATTTGACAAATCAAATCAACTTTTCATCACTTTATGAAAGCATGCAAATATGACTTTCAACTCACCAATATCCGATAGCATCATTCCTTTTCCCTTAAAGCAAACCAAATGATCAATGCTGGTCATTGCCTCACTTACGTTGGTACCAATAATTTCATCGACTCTAGGGTCAAGAAAAGGGAATGCTTTGATACGAATCATGACCTCGACCATACCTCCATGTCCAAATAAATCACCAACAAGTTTGGCCACCATGACTGTAACCATACAAGGAATAATATAATTGAGTGTTCCAGTAAGCTCATACATGATGACTGTAAGGGACACGGTAAGCTTCGTTACTCCCTATGAATTGCCAATGGTAAGAGAATTAGGACCTAAAGCAGAATAAGATGGAATAACCAGGCTGCCGAATAAAGCAACATCTACTTACACCCAGTCCTGCCATGGCTCCCAGCAGCGCGTACATTCCTGGAGTAACACAGGATTTCTCTGGTGGACAACTAAAAAACAAATCTAAATGCGGATATGCACTGTATCATACAGATTAGAATATTAAACTATTGTTCTGCTTTTGAGTATACACATAGAATCACATACATTTGCCATTGTTCAACTGAAATACCGAGAATTCTTCCAAAAAGTGCTCCCCATACCATTGACGGAATGCTAGACATATTGAGTTGGTTATCATACAAAGTATCAAACGTATGCTAAACATCAATCTCTATCATCGCATTCAAACTTACAATATTCCTGATGGCACTTTGGTGCCAATAGTAATCGTTGTCAAAATTGTTCTGATAATCAATGCAAATACAAGCAATACAATCGTGTATCCCCACTGCGTACTACACAACAGCGGTATTGGTATATGCGTAACGCCATAAACTATAAGCATCACTATAAAAATATACAATAGAACAGGGTTAAGTGTGTTTACCTGCAAATGCCAATACTGTCTTGATATGTGTCACATTCCTTGAACAGTGTTTCGAGCAACTCTAAACTGTCGATCCTACAATCATAGCATCATATCAGTACTACAACACCTTGAAACACGTTTAAATATAACAAGTAAATGCACCTTGTAAACACATTCATGTATCCAATGGCAGCAGTCAGTGCAGAAATAAGAATAATTTCTTTGACTGGACTAGATTTTGACCATCCGTTCTGGCGACGAAAGGCTTGATACCACAAACTGCATCGAATCACCAACGCACCCGTAAGTCCCTACCAAATTGTATTGATTCACATCAGATCAGCTGTAGCAAATACGTGATGATTGATCAAATGACTTACACCAATGATTCCAATAAGCACAAATGAAATCATTTCAAAAAAAAACCAGTTGCGTGAAAGTGTCACTTGGAACATGACACGTTTTCCTCGATAAGGATCAATAAACTAGACAGTATGATGAGCATGTTAGATTACAGATGAGTCCAAGTATCATCAAATAGCTGGCATTGTATTATACCTGCAAGGTCATACGTGATACCAATGCACAAAAAAAACTGGTCAGCATCGTTTTTGTTGGAAAAAACGAGCTCAATTCCTTTAATTACAACGACATATTCCAATACTATGTTTAGTGTGTATATCACAAGACAAACAACGCCTTGATACAATCATAGACCTTACCTCGAGAGAAAACAACACACCTCCGATTGGAGCTAATTGAATTGTCAAATGGTTAGGCTACCGACTCCATTTATGCAAGACCGGATAGTCATAAAATATACTACGCGTTACCTCCAAAAGCAACTGCAATTCCAGCAGCAGCAGACGCTACGTCAATGCACATTCACAGATGATATAAGTCATTGTGTTTTACAACTTATCCAACAATCTTGGAATCATACCTGACAGTATCTCCCTTTTTCGTGCTAATCAAGTGCAAAGTGTATCAACATGCTCGAGTGTTTAGTAGACATTCTGTTTCAAAAATTTGGTCAAGATTACAAACTAGTGTACCTTCATTGGCTTTATATTTTGGAAATAGCCGAGGAAAAATATTGCCAATACTGCATGCAATATGTACCATGGGTTCCTCTTTTCCAACTGCTAAACCCGAGGCGACTGCAAGAGGCTAGAATTAAACATTCAGCTCAGCAAACCACTTGAAACGATCAAGTAAATGGATTTATATATAGTGTTACCAATGCAAGACTTTTGACTATTAGTGTGCGTAATCCCAAAAACTCTTTGATGATAAATCCACCCAAAATGGTTTTGATTTCAGCAGCACCAGATCCAGCTGCGTACATTGCAAGTCGTGTAACCATGATAGCAGAACACGCTGCAAACACAATCTATACAATACGATTTGGTTTAGACAAACATGACAATATGGCAAGTGTTTCAATTGGCTTACCGAAAACAAGCCATACAATACAAAATTGACCAGCACATTGTATTTTGCTCCAAATATGACCCAACTCCATGGTTGAAAATCTCTACAGTATCCATCTTGAAAACAATTCACAATGATTTAAATTAGAATTACGTCTGATAAGCTTCAAACGCCAGTGTTTAACACACCTGTTCGTACGAGCCCAGTGCAGCAGATATCTTTACTGAGATACCACTCGGTGATGCATACGCCCTGCTTGATATCTGTCAGCCAGGCAGCAATGATATCGATCCACGCAGCGGCACAGCCAATAGAAATACCTATGATTGACACAAGCAGCCATGACTGCATTGAATCAAATTGGGAGTAAAAATAGGACTTCCATCCTGGATATTGTCTAGCAAGCAATCTATGTTTGCGCCTATGATCTCTCATCAAATCACGCATCCAATCTAAGTGACAATAAATCATTGAATATGTGTTGATGCTGAGTGAGTCTTGTAGTGCAGATATACTTTCAAACCACAAACGAGGCTTATATCAACTTTTCAGTCTATATAGCCTTATTCCTGACATGTTAACTCAAGACTGCATTTACCAATAGTTGTGAAATCCTCATATGGAAGAATCAAATCTTGAACTCCAGCAGCATCTAAGCTATCGACTGTTTCCTGAAATGGATGAGAGAAGACCTCGGACCCATTGATGCCATCCGATTCAAGTCCAGATGACACGAGTGACGAGGAATGCAAGTTGCTGGAGCGATTCTCAAGTTCGCCCAGCCAACGTTTATTAAGTGGATCAGCTAAAAACAGTTTCCTAGATTTTCTAGAATGTATGGGTCTAGAAGAACTTGAATGGCCTGGCTGCATAGGCTCAGTAAGATTAGAAGGTCCATAAAGTCTAGTCAAAGATGAAGCTGATGCAATACTACTGGATGAGGGTTTGGGTAACGATGTGGTATTGAATTCATCCATGAGAAACGAGTTTGGAGATAGATGCTCCAGAAGCGGAGAGTTTTGCTGTGATTGTACTAGTGGTTGCTGACCATGACTATTATTACTATCTGTTGCAGTGACACAAGGACCAGTTGTGGCCAATACAGTGTGATGATCATGCAGAGTGGATAAATGCAATGACTGTCGAGTGTGACCAACCCTTCTTTTTGGATTGGTATCAGCACGATAGTTGCTGATAGAGAAATCTCTGTTGTCCATGTCCACTGGGATCCTGTTGATCTATCCAATGTAAAGTTTGAATTTACAAAACCAAAATGTTGAATTTCTGTTCTGCCACATGTAAAATGAAATATTAAAGTGTTTAAACAGCCAATTTATTAACCATTTTAAACGACTGAATTTCTAGTCTTGTAATCAACGACAGAGTTGCTGGTTTTGTAATCAACTGCAGTGTCGCAAGACACGATTTTATCCATTCTTGAACTGACAATCCAATAAAATGGTTTTGTACAGCGTGTCATTCCAAACACTGAGAAAGAATCGAGTGTTGACAATGCGGAAAGATAGTTAATCATGATTATTCCGAAGCAACTGAAGCAATGCTACAAGAAAAGTATTCCATCAACTTGATTATAAATACGCGAACAATTTTCCTCGACTGAATCGAGTCAAACTACAAACTGATGAATATGTTGCTCTCGTTGACCCATTCAAGAAAAATGCCATTCGCTAGTCTGGCTCATCAGTTGCGTATATCTAATATGCTGTACACTACTTCAAGTGAAGCTACTAAGCGTGCCATGACTTGCACTTCCGAAACGGTCCAACAAGTCCATGACTGGAAAACTCGTTTGCTTCAGCATTCTCTTCATGATGTAGACGAGATCACTGCATCTAATCAGCAGTTGCTTAAAATGACCATCGATCCTACTTCTCTTTCTTGTGATAGAGCTGCTGCCGTGAAGAAACTATCTAATCCTGAATTCTCTTCTGCACTCAAATCTCTTCCTCCGATTGGCGCTTCCATTCATCCTGGAACCCATTTTACACTATTTCCTATACGTACTCCCGAACCACTTTTGGCTTTGGATGGATATGATACTGACTGGTCTCCACCAAGTCCATTTTTACAGCGTATGTGGGCAGGTGGAGTCATTGAATGGCATGCTAAAAATCCACTAACTATAGGACAGACTGCTCGTCAGACTACTCGCATGGCAGATGCTCAACTCAAACCTACTGGTCGTGGAAATGCAGTCTTTGTTACAATTCAAAAGAACATTTCCAACGATATTGGACCTGCTATCACTGAACATCGCTCATACGTATACCTGGAAAATAAACCAGAGATTACCTCGGATGCTGTCAATGCCAAGCGTGCCATTAAAAGTATGTTATTCTTCCGCTTGTGGATAAACTTGTAAAGCTTTAAACTGGAATGTATTCATGATTTTTCCGTTGTGTGTGGAATTGGATTCTTGATGAACGAGATTTGATAACCAATTTGGTAAATCTGTTTAGAATCTCTAACGGCCGACTTTCAAACTACCGTTCTTCCATCAACAATTTCACTTTTCCGCTTTTCTGCCATCACATTCAATAGTCATTTGATTCATTATGATCACATTTACGCATCCAAAAAAGAAGGTTATCCTGTTTGTCTTGTTCATGGTCCAATGACATGTACGCTTCTTTTGGATTTGTTTCAACGCAATGCAAATGGGAAGCAGATTCGTAAATTTTCGTATCGTGCCATCAGCGCAGTGCTGGTTGGCAAACCGTTGACTCTGAATGGAAAATGGGCTACAGACTCTGCTGGAAAACCATACTGTGAACTATGGGCTACTAATGATCAGGGTGGCATGGCAATGAAAGGAACTGTAGAATTCGATTAAACATGTGTCCGTGATGCAACCCAGAGCAGTTCTTTGGTCTGATATTATATTGTCATGTGTTGGTTATATTTGATCAAAATATAGTATAGTTGAATGAATGCGTACTGGACAAAAACGTCGAGTATATTCCACTTTTATTCAGATAGCCAATCCAGAATCATTGGGGTGTAATAGGTAATAAGAATATTGGCACCTAAAACAACAGTCAGTTTTGTAAAAGTATACAAGCAATGCAGTTGAATATGTTCTTACCAGCACGCATGGCCGATTCAAGAGATTCCATTACGCCAGCTTTGAGATCAAACACGTTATGCTGAGCTGCATGCCAAAGCATGGCATACTCACCCGAAACCTGGTAGATTGCCAATGGCAAATCAGGAACAAGCTCCTTGGCATCGCGTACAATATCCAAATAAGGGTATCCAGGCTTCACCATGATCATGTCTGCACCTTCTGAAGCATCACGGCTCTATATACATTCACCATTAGCCAACTGCAATAAAAATAAAAGACAGTATTCAATACATACCAGTGCACGACGTGCAAGTCCACGAGCACCTGGAGGAAGTTGATATGATTTGCGATCTCCAGCAGATGGAGCAGAACACGCAGCATCTCTAAAATTGTTCAATCATAAGTACCAACACTTGAATGACTGCATTACATCAAATCCAAATCGAATTCAACCTGAAAGGACCATAAAAGACACTTGCAAACTTGGCACTATAGCTCATAACTGAAACAGACGAACCCAATTGGTTCAACAAAAGAATGTGCTTGATGGCACGAATACGTCCATCCATCATGTCAGATGGAGCAATGACTTGGCAGCCTAAAACACGACGAGTCAGTAATAGATTCATCCATCTAAACATATATCTTGAATAGTATTATGCAGTATAGAATGTACCTGCTTTAGCATAGTTTAAAGCAACTTGAGCAAGACGATCAATGCTCAGTTGATTATCAATACTACCGTTAGAGTGGAGGATGCCGCAGTGACCATGGCTAGTATATGCACAAAGACACAGATCGCAACACACAAGCACCGAGGGAAAGTGCTTACGAAACAATTTGATGGCTTGAATAACTGGCCCATTCTCGTCATCAGCAGCAGATCCACGACCGTCCTGGTGAAGAAATTGAACAGATTACCAAAATGAAGGACTGACAAGGACAGCAATCATAAACTACCTTTTCGATTGATGTTGGCACTCCAAAGATGATGATGCTGGCCAGACCTTTTTTGATTAGAGGATCAAAGTGATCCTTGAGTGTATTCACACCGAATCTACTCATCCCAATTGGTTACTAATTGGTTGCTATAATCCAGTCTGTCTATAAATGCTTGGTGGTGTGACAGATACAAGCAGCTGCATTGATATCTTACCGGAATTGTCCAGGAAGAGTTGGAATGGCTTCCTTCACATCGGGTTTATCATGAATGAAGATGGGAAAAACCAGACTTTCTTTGGTGATGAAAGATATGCCTCCAGTACTTTGTTGCCAGCTACGTAGAGTTGGATGATGGTATCCTGAATGCAGCAATGAAGACACTTGAAACGGAGATGTATTCTGTGACATTGCAGTTCAATATCAGAAATAAATTGCAAGAATGAATTCAATCAAAAAGTGCAAGTTTGCTGCCAACAGAATTCAATGGTTTCAAAGCCTGACGTCGTGCTCATCAAATGCCAGTTTGTATTACGCAGTCTTGCAAGTTAATTCCAACTCATTGCGTTAATGGCAACTCGTTGAATTAAAATACCAAAATGATTCTTAAAAACATTCATTTATACTTTTTTGATTTCAAGACTAGTTTAATCTGAAAATATTTCAACCGAGTTCAAACCATCGCATCTTCAATTTATTATTAGAAATATAGTATACACTCCAATATAGGTTATCATGGGCTGCAACTATTCCACAGAACAGTCGGCTGATATACTTGAAAATAAGAAATCTAAACAGCACGCCATTGCTGCTATCGAAACAGGAAACCTTTGGCGTAAAAAATGGCTCGAGTTTACTGATGCAATGGAGCAATCACAGTTGACTGGAGCACACTGGGCACAGGTAATATGTTTTCATTCATGTGTTTTTTTATTGATATGGCTTTGAGTTTAATGGCTGGCTGTCAGCACGAGTTCAACTGGCATCTGTCTTGAAGGTTGACGCGCCAAATGAGCATTCTAATCAATGCTACTATCAACTATTAAACCAAAAATACTGGCCTCAAACTTACACTGTTGAATATATTATTTATATACAGGATGAAAGCAACGAGCTTCTTAAAGCTTGCTTTAAATCACTTTCTATCCAATCTACAGAGATCTACATCATCTCACGAGGATTCATTTCTGCTCTTGAAGCACATCTATCCCTTTTACAAGATATTCTGTCTTTGCAACGAGACTTTCACGCAAGCCTTAAAAGTCGAGCCATTGCAAGACGTCATTTATCCCACATGAAATACCTTGCTCATACCCAATCTAAGCGTACTGCAACCCGAGATAAACGTCGCATCAATCCAGGCAACTTATCTCCTCATTCATCACACCTCAGTCCATACATCTACAGTGGCGAAGCTATTCATGGCATGTATGAGCTTTCAAAATCTAAAGACAAGCTTCAACTTGCTCAGTTTCAGTTTGACGAAATCAACCAAATTGTCGAGTCAAAATTTCAAAGAATTCAGTGGACATGGAATGTGCGTGTGCCTCATATGATTGGAGTCATGATGACTAGATACAGCGAAATGTGGAAAAAGTATTTGGCATTGTTTGAGGATATGCAGCAAACTGTCAAAATTCATGCATGGCTAGAACCATTAGAATCACCTTCTCCAACACGATCAGCGAATGATTCAAATCGGCTATCAGCAAGTACATCCTCACATCGGACTAGAAAGGAGGAGGATATAATTGTAAGACAAACTGTAGTTATCCGTCGATGGGCTGAAATTTTTCGCGACTGTATTACATTATGGAACACCATGTACAGTTTAGAACAGTTGCATGTGTCGCAGTTAATGATATGGTGGTGCCCGTCGTATTTAGATACATTTCAAAATACTACAGATTCAAAAGTAGTCAAAAAATCGACTAAAAAAAGTGGTCAAGTCAATACAATAGATCACCAGCTTGATCTCTCAGACAATACTCAATCCTCATTATGTAAAATACCTAATCCATGTAATATGATGTGTACGATTTGGCTCAACGCACTTGAAAAAACGGCAGATTCAGCACTACAGACCTCGATTCATAACGACAAATTCACAAACTCGTTACAAACGACCAATAACACCACGGCACCAGTTTCAATTCCATCTTTGGCGAAATCTTTTCATACAATAACCCATGCCTTGACTTTATTTGTCGATACAATTGAAGCGATTGAAAATCACGAAAAAGGTATTCAAGGCTTAGTGCAAGAAGTTGACACTGCTAATAACTGTGTAAAAAAGTTTAAACAGCAACAAGGAAAGTCTGTTTCACAAGCAGCATCACAAAAATCCGGCGGTATTCGCCGATTGTATGAAATTTCTCATAATGACGCTAGTGATGCAAAATCTATTATAGATCAATACATTTTTGCTGCCAACAAAGCCAAATACAAGCTTCATCATGCTATACAAGACAACAGAGCACTTCGAGAAGTCAAACTAGAATCATCTCAAACAGATATTTGGCGATTATTTGTGCAATCCTCAAAAGAGTTTTATCAGGGATATGCAGATCTAGGACGGATGTTTGAAAATATGAGTGAGAGTACACTTGAATTGGCCTCCTCTATGTCTCAGACAAAGTCATCATTATCTTTTAGTCAAAGACACACCTTTCCTGTTACTACTACACTTGGTAAATCCTATAACACATTTTCGCCCACAACTCGAACTCGCTTTGGTGGTCCAAACGAATCACAGGCTGGAGAGCATTATAGTCGCGTTGAATCCATTTTTTCAGATACGAACAACAGTCTGACTGGTTCGATTTTTTTTCGAAGTGATCCAGTGTTTCTATCTGATTCATCAATGGAATTCTGTCCTGTAAAAACCAACACATCCATGTCCAATGTCCGTATACCTGGAGGTGGATCCACCCAATCACTGAAGCTTGTCAACATGTATGGGTCAATTTCGCGCATGTCTGCAGTAGAAGTTCCAATTGTGACGGTTGATGCACCAAAGGAGTCAGATACAGCTGTCGAAGCATCAACTAGCTCCATTTCAATTCCCTCAAATCAGGAATCCGAAACTCCTTACGTGGGTCGTACATCAATTCGTCAAAAATCATTGATGAACAATGGAGTATTATTGTCGCCAATTGTTTCAGCAGAAAATATAACCGACGTATGTACTCACTCATTTTCAGAAACTAATATATATTCCAAAAAATTGGATTTGACGCCGGCAACTCATGGCAAAAGCGATTTGAAAAATACTACGTGGACTACATTGAGTGAATCCACCTCGCCAGCCCAATCTCTGCCTCGGGCAGCTCAAGCGTATTTATCTGCTCCAGTCACACTTAGTTCGAGCGATCTAACCAAGATCCAAACGAGTTCCACTGAATTGCCTGACATGTCTAGCAACCCAAGTACATCATCACTCACTTCTTCAAAAACTCCACTCACAAAACTGTATTCGCCACATACATATTCTGCACCCACCACTTTATTGAAAGAAAATGTACCGCAATCAAAATGGAAAGGAAAGTCGGCGACTTTAAAGTGTAATACGAAAATTCGTGATGCTGAACTGTTTTCTATAAAAAAGGAATCGGCATCAAGTATTCAGACAGTTCCAACTCTTGCAACGGTTTCAATCAAGTCACACACAGAAGCCCAGCACGTATCAATTCAAGTAGTTGACAATGAGGTTTCATTCCCGAGTGTTACTGCCATGGGTAGTATACAAGCGAAAATGCAACAGAAATCGAATACGGATAGTAAATATGGCAGCAATGGTCTAAATGCAAGTACTGAGCCTGAATCGAATACTAGTAGAATAGAAAATACTTTGATGTTGGCGCCTATTAGTGATTCGGTAGATACTGAATGCATACGTGATCTCGAGACTCATACCGACAAACCCAAAGTCGCGACAGTAAAAAGTATGCCATTTTATACTCCACCTACGGCAATCCAACCCAGTAAACAGCAGGATTCAAGCCCCAAAGATCTATCCCAAGCTGACTCACCCACCAAAAATAGTACTACGGATATGGCTGTATACTCTGTTTTTAATACCACGACATCACCTACCCAGAAGCAGTTGAATATAAACTCTGATACAAATGTAAATGATAGTGCATCAGGTTTATCCATCAACTCTCCCTCACATATGGAATTCACGTCTCGTTCATTTACGAATCTGGCCAATTCATCCATGCCAAACTCGCCTACTGAATCCAACCCTTCTTCAACCAAGCCAAGTAGATATACATCAGCAGTGATTGAGCCCCATTTCAAACAATCAGGAATAACCAATCGGCTACACCCACCTCCACCACCTTATACTATTGTACCTGATCAATTCAAAAATCAAGTATCACACACTTCAGCAGTAGATACAGGTGCTCGAGTGTCGTCGAGTCCCAGTTTATTATTGTGGACAAATTTGATTCCACATCCACCTTCAGGCACACCTTCTCACATCCATACCACAAAAAGACAATATCGAGTAGATTCTACCCAAAACAGTAGTAAATCAGATTTGGAGCACCCCACTTTATCCGCATCGACGGATAACTGGCCTATTCGACATCGAAGTGCCCAACTCCTCAGCAATAATACATTACCTCGAGGCTTGAGGAAGCCGCCTCCACCTATTCCAAAAATGATTCAAGTCGATCAACCCAACACATGTTAACTATCCCTTTATCCAAATCATCACATCCATACCCAAACTAAAACATAAATCTACAACACCAACATAGTATAGCATGTATTTATTGATGTTGGAATGTGTAAAAACACACAGCTAGCGACAACGAGGATAGAGAATTGAAAGAAGATTATCAGTAATTTTGATATTGTTTTTTGGGCATATTGATAGTCTGTCGTTGATTTGGATAACAGGATCATCCATCACTCGCGTTTTCTGTATTGCGACCAGTTTGCTAAATGACTTGCTGCTCCTCTTGATTCAATACAGGACAACACCACTTATTGGTCTTGTTTTAGCGCAAAAGTTTCGGTATTCTATTTATACAGTTTATACGCCAATCTAAAACAATTGTGCAATTTTACAAAGAATTTACGGTTTTGATATGATGTCATGGTAGCCTGTTTGATATTATCAGAGTGGTTTCAAGCATGATGAAAGTGGAGTTTTCTATCCAACCAAATGTATATTTCTCATTCCCATTTTTGTTGGCTGTGACTTACGAGTGGTCGTAATACATATTTCAAGCCCAACATTGTTTAAAAGCGTAATATGTAAATTATGCAATAAAGGGGTATATAAATATTTACAGCCGTATTCACGTAAAACGGTACATTGGATCAGGATGCCAGAGTACATCATAAGCAGCAGGTATCATGACATGATGAGTGCCAGCTTGCACTAAATTTACTGGTAAATAGTGACTTTCTGAACTTTTTGGCAGAGTTGGCTGGCATGAAAACAATCGTTGCATTCTTGATATTGCTTTCCTGAACTAGAGCGCGAACATATCCGACTTGGGATACAACAAAGAGTTTCGAGTTTGATTGAAAGCTCAAACTCAATATCTGGATTGCAATATATGAATTTGGTTTCAGACTTGTTGATTGTGCAATGTATGGCTATGTCAAAAGTGTGGAAAGAAATAGCTAGTTTGGCTTTGTATAGACGTTGTGTTTACTGGATAAGCAGTCAATTTGTAGTGGAAAGACGCAACAAATATTCAACCATTGTTTATCTCAACGAGGCAGTCGCTACAAGATAGATACAAGTGTTTTATTTTACGTGAACACAGCTATATTCCCATTTTCTAAAATATGATTACAAACCTTTTATCGTAGCATGTTCTTGGCTTTATAAACAAGAAATAAATATTCAGGGCATACCTGTCAGTATAGTATGCTTTGCTTTACCACTACTGCAGCATGCTCGAGTTGATGTTTATCGATGTACCTATTAGCATAAATGTATTGTTTCACATGACTGCAAGATGTCACTGTTTGCATGATGGATGTATAGCTTTCAGACACGTGGATGTTTCAAGTGCAATATACTGAGCTAGGGGCATCTGTCGTGAAATGACCAATACTGTTCTCGCTATTGCTAGCTGGTATAAAAAGCTAGTTTGCAACATATGGACATTTTGAATTGAGTAGCCGACCATATCTGGGTATGCCTAATATGGAAAAGCGATAGACTGATTAGTGCATTGTCAGCATAAAGTCGTGTGGATCAATTATTTGAACCTGATAAATCTGTAATTACAGGCTCATGATGGCTGAGATAGATAAGATCAATATAAATCATCTGGGATTGATGAGGTGGTTTGTAGTTAGTATCCAAGCATATTATGAAACATGATTACAACTTTTAAATAGTCCACGCTTGATGTATGCCATGAGATCCATAGCAACAGCTCCAATACGGAGTAATTATCAGCAACAAACAGCCATTCAAGCCAATCTGGAATCTTCAGTTATGCATTCAAGCCACCACTGTCCCTTATCGCGGCAATTTTTGCTCAGCCAGCTCCGAGCCAAAGCCGACTAACTCGACTATTCACAAGTTGTATGAACCACCGCCACCACCAATATGCTTATCTTGCCGTGATTTTTGACATCACGAAACACGACTCGAGTCTGATGGAAGCAATCGACACTTGCCAGTGAATTTGCAGGTAGCTTAGCATAGAATCAAACAAACAGATCAGCATTGAACAACAAAATATCCACCCAGTATTTTATCGTAGCCACCGGTCATACTCGTAGCATCGCCGCATCCAATTGATAAAAGCTACTTTTGAACTTTCTGATATATACAATATTCTTCAAATCACTACAATGAGCTCCTATGCTGTACCATTACAACCATTGATGCTTACAATGCCTACTCGAACAGAGCATGGACTAACCTCTCACTCATACAAGTCTGATCGAGCATCTCTGTCACCACAATCGCTTGCTCATCGTACAGGGTGTGATCGTCAATCTTATCCCGATGTAGATGTTGATGCTGCTTCGGTGTTGGCATCGCTCACCAAACCACAAAGCATCCCTACTGACTCAACCCGACCATTCCAACGCACCCAAGATTTACAATCCTTGCAGTCTACCCTGTCCTGTTCTGCACATCTTCCTACGGTACCATCCAATGGGCCCAGCATGTCCTCGACATCCCCAAAGTTACATCATATATCACAGCATCTCTCGGTCACTCATAGCGTCGCTCCTGTACCCGATATGCATTCAATTTCAGATACCCAAACTGTAGGGGCAGATTCAAGCACCACACTTACTCATGACAGCGCCGTAGTACTGCCTCGCCTCTACCGTACATCAATAGGATCTCTGCATCAACGCACAGCCAGTGATCCGTATTTCTATTCTAAATCCACCACGCCATCATTTAAGAATGGCCGATACCACAAACACATCAATCACCATCCGTGTGACCAAGACCATCTGGATGACTATACTCGAACCACCCATGCCAACTGCCATATAGAGGCAGTAGATAAGCCATATATTAAACAGACAGAAGCTACAGGAACTGCAGATAAATCTTTATTGATGCGTGACGGATCAACTGTGTCGTCTGTTCGTCCTCCATCTTCAATGTTGGATGATTTGCTTAAGCGCAAACACTGCGAGGCAACAGATACTGACACTACAAGTGGTTTATCAAGAGGCAGGCCTTTAGAACAACGTACACGAATGAGATCCATGTCGGTTCAACTGGGCAATTTCCGTCTTGGAGATATGGAGTCTGACAATTGCCAAAAGTCGAGGTACAATGCATTGCCTTTAAAATCTATGGACTTGCCAATCCAATCCTCATTGTCTGCAAACAATCAATCGGATCTGCGATTGCGACGAGCATCATGCGACAGATATCCTTCACGCAAGTCTGAACCAGATGTTAGTTGTCCAGACCAGCAACTAGAATCACAAGACTGTTCTTTGGATCAACTGCCGAAAATCATGAGCCATACTCCCAAATCCAGCAAGTATCTGCTGGCACCTATTGTTGGCACTGATAACGATAGTTCCATCAGACAATACTCCCAGCTTGGAGAGGGTAAACTTCCTTCTCTGGCTCAGATGCTGGGTTCAACTCCTCGCTATGAATCTGAGCAACAGACTGTTAATTCCAACATTCACGCTCCAATGCTGTCTGTTAAAAAAACGCATGGCGACGCTATGGAGGGTTTGAACATGAGAGAACCATCACCTCGGACTGTCCATCTCTCTCATCCAAGCCAGCAGCAACAGCAGGAGCAATCACAAAGTCCTTTTCAATATCATGGATCAGTGACCTCGCACGCAACTTCATTGCCTATTCCATGGACTGCAAATCATCCTGGCATTGCAATAGAGTCAACACAGACTCTCAATGCTCTGCATTATCAGACGGACAAGCGCGAGCCACTGGTGTCTTATACAAACAAATCAACACTCGCTTGTGAACCCAGCGAGTCCAGTCGAACCCTCGCAATTGCTAGTAGTGACATCAATCCAGGCAGCGAAAACACTCGGTCAGCTGAAACAAGCATGGCTTCACATTTCCCCATGAATACAAAGCATCATGGCAGTGGCGAGCATTCTGACTGCTCGAACCACCCCGCCATAAACCAACAGAAATATCTACAACAAACTCATGCTCGACCAAATATCCTTCCATTGGGTTTTCAAAAATGCGATTCGCCTCTTCCAAACACAACAACACAGACTGAAGACGCCAACCGTAAATTTCCATGCAATGTATGTGGAAAGTCATTTACCAGAAAATACAATCTGGATGCTCATCTTCGGAGTCACAATAATATCAAACCCTATCTATGTCCTGAATGCTCTGATGCATTTGTAAGAAAACATGATTTGCAACGCCATGTCGTATCTGTTCATAAACGATCAAGCTTTGGTCCGTGTCCCTACTGTCATCGCACTTACTCACGATCTGATTCATTTAGAAAGCATATGCGGATGGAGGAAAGGTCTCGAATGACTCAGTAAACACTAGACTAGAGTGTTTGTTTTTATTTATTACAGCCGTCTTCATGTAAATGGAACACTTGTATCTTGCAATCACTGCCACTATCTGCTTTGAAATAAATAATGATTAAATGTGTTGTGTTTTCCTATTAGAATTGGTTTGAATCAATCCTTTAGCAGTGTTTGTCATATGATGTATCCAATGGCAGTTTACACTAAAATCCTCGATATGCATTGTACAATCCAAGTATTGGATTTGGCTGTTCATCCAACTCGCATGTTCGCGCTCTAGTTCAAGAAATGTAGTGTCACTCATCCCACGAGATTGGCTGTTTATTATATACTTACACCCCTACCCAATACCCATTTCATGTAACCAAGACTATCATAAAAAAACTAATGCTTTAATAGCTTACTTTTCAGTAGCTCACTTCTATACCATACAACAATGATGCTATCCAATAGTGTAAAATAACCTAATCGATTCGAGCCTTGATAATTCAACACTCTTTTTTTTTTCAAACTTGACACGCATGATGCAGTGTTGAGACTATTCGACTTGACGTGAACAGGTAAAAAAATGTCGCTTGAATGCATCTTGACGAGGAAACCGAGCACCGCATCCATTGCAAGGTCCATACCGTAGTGATTTATTGTGCACACATGATACATGTCGTGTCAAGTCATGTTTTCTATTAAATGTTTTACTACAATGCGGACATACTTCAGGACGTTCGCCTAAATCATACAATGTTAGATCAATCATATGATGTTTTAAAGTGTAAATTATTATTTACCTGTATGTGTGCGTTGATGTGCGTCGACATTGTATTTGCGTGTAAACCACCGATCACATCCAGAAAACTCGCAATAGTATCGTCGTTTGACGCCTGATGAGGATGCTGGTTTGGCTTTTTCAACAGGTTTGGTGTAGCTCGTTGAACCAAGCAAATCAACACAATCAAAGTTGATGTCCTGTGGTGATGGATCTGAGCCATACACCCCACCCTGTTTGATAAGTGGTGGAAGTGAATGTGGCATCGTCAACAGTGATGGCAGAGGTGGAAGCATGTGTAGATCAGTTTTTGTAGAAGAATGTGCCTGCTGCTGCTGAAAATGGGGTGGAGATAAAACAGTGCATGTAGATGGCGACAACTTGAGCAAATTCTGTGGTGGAGAAGTACGGTTAATGTTCATCATTTGATGCCAAGATTGAGCAGAGGAATCGGTTGACATGATGGAAGTATGTCCAAATACGGTTGATCCTCTGTTTTCGCAACTCGTATCGCTTAATGCATTGCCACTATTTGGGTAAGCATTAGCAGTAGACGTGGTGGGATTGACGTGGACACCAAAAGGCAAAGTAGATCCATTCATGTCAGCCGTAGCAAGCGTATACAATGCCATTGAATACCCTTGCACGTTTGGGGATGGCTCAAAAGATTCAGCAATGCAAGGAGTTCGTGTAGGGCTCTTGGATGATACTGGACATCCTTGCTGACTTGATGTATGTGCAAAGGAAGCGTTAGTAGCTGCTGCATCCATCCAGGCAGCGTTTTTATTCTGGTCGTGATCATCCACAAGCAAATCTATCATTGAATTAGGAGCACCATTATGATGGCCGATACTTGCACTATGGCTTTGTGTCTGGCGCATATCAGGAATTTTTGCATCTTCCTTTAAAGCATATAAACCTGATATGGATCTATATGGTTGAAGAACAGATTGTCGCTGAGTAGGTATGGGATTGACACAATCTTTAAAGCCATTTGAAACGGCAAGCGCATCTTCCTTTGAAGAGATTGCTGTTCCAAGAGTAGTAAAAGAGTTGGAGGTCGAAGGAGTTGTAGTAACTATATTTCCCATGACAGGCATGGGCAAAATCAATCGGTCAATCACGTCGCAATCAGTGGTATTCAATGGTTGTGAATACAGTCCAGGTTGCGGCCCAGTTGCCATGGACATGTTTGGATGTAAAATTCGCGGTGAAGATAAAAGTTCTGGAGCAGAGATACTCGACACTGTACAAGTTGCCGGCCATCCTAGCTCGGTATCTATTGCTAGAGAATGCCTGCGATTAAGAATCGAGTAAAAGAGAGATGCAGATTGATGTTGAGACTGCGACTGCTGGGGAAAAATTGACAAAGAAGGCGTTGGTCCAGACGGAGATTTTCGACAAGTCATTGCTATGGTTTGAGGAGATGTATAGGCGGTTGAAGCGCTTATAGAATTCTGTATATCAGGAGTGGTTGCAGTGGGCAATGATGAGTTTGAAGCAAGCTCAAACGTGTTGGGTTGAGATTCTGCAGTAGTAGGTTTGAATAGATCCAAAGAAAGATACACTCCAGATTGAGAAATGTCTGCTACAGATTGCCGCATATTATTGTGGTGATTCTGGTGTAGAAGCTGTCTGGTGTAGTTCATATTATTCGGAACATGCAGATACTGAGGCGAGTAAAAATCACCTGAAGCAGTCAAATCAATTTTGCTGTCAACTTGGGTAGAACTCGCGCCATCACTGTTTGATATGGTTAACGATGGAGCAATTGTTGGTATGGAAGCAGGAACATCCACTTGTTGAGTATCTACCATGGAAGCATTTTGAATAAGTTGATGTTGTTGTGACAAGCCATGCTCATTTTTTTGAGCAGGATACGCAGTATGGTTGGGGTATTGCAAGGCTTGGTAATCCTGTCGAGGAATGCTTTGTGATGGCTGCTGCAAAAAATAAACAACCGCAGGTGACGATGCAGATTGAGAACCAAGCTGAAATGGTGTCTGAGAGGATGACGATGAATTAGCAAGAGAATGATCAAGATGCTGATATTTGTGCTGCTGCGGATAGTATGGCCGATGGCCTGAAGAGGCATGCCTTGAATGGGATATCCAGCACGAGTCATCCACCACGGGCCCACTTACACGAAGACCATGTTGGTTCTGTTTCTGTTGTTGATCCGGCAAGGGCAACGGTGGAACTTGGTAATTGAAAGTACTGCCACAAGTAGATGAGCCTGTTCCACAGGCGTACATGGAGGCAGATATATGACCATTGCTACTCATTGGTCTGTGCAACTGGGGATTTTCATGGCGTTGTACTGGCGCATTTAGATTCAAGTTATTGGTGAATATCGGGGGTTCTGCCTGGTTTGCCGTGTCGGCAAAGTACAGGGGTTGTGCTGACCTTGTTGAATGCATATCTTTGTTGCAATTGTGGGTATCGGTGAGTTAAAGAAATGCCTTGTGATGTAGAGATGTAAGCAATCAAATCAGAAATTGGCGGAGAGCGGAATATAAACTGGTTGAATGCAAGTTCTTGTTGAATATACACGACTAGAGGCAGCACGTTAAAATTTGGCGGAGTTGAACAAGTCGGCTTAATGAGCCAATGCTATTCGATTCAAGTATTTCAGTCAGACAAGATGCTGAGGATAAAAGCGGTAGACAGAACAATATGTTAGCTTGTTGTTATGATTTAAATCACAGGCTATAGAATAGCCGATATTGTTTTTAAAGGTATAGTGTTTGATTAGATATGCAATCTCGACAGTGATAAACCCCCAAAATTAGGTTCCCTTGGCCACAAGGCAAAAAACTGATATCAGCATCAAGGATATCAAATGACCAAACATGCATTAGTGCTACAGAATGCATTACGACACCGTGTACGTTTTGCTAGCAAGTTTTTGATTTTTCTAGGCAGGTTCAGATGAGCTTTATAGTCGAGCTTTCCCACTCAATGTCGGAGTAGGAATACAATGCACTGAAGCAGCTGATATGCCAAAATGGCACTGGATATAAAGTAGAAAGAAGCAAGTAGGCAGTGCAGTAGCAATATAAAAAACGGTACTCGGTCATAAACAACATGCACACAAATTGAAATGCAAAATAACAGAATGGAAAGGATACCTTTGGTCTAAATCAAACCCAAGTTTTGGATTTTCAAGTTGTCTGGTAACTGATATGCAACAGAACTTGTATATCAGACTTTGGCCGCGTTTTATAATTACCTAGTGGTGTTTGGAAGCGTATTAGGGTTGGAAATGCCAAGAGAAAACGAAAATATAGAAACAATTGCAATCTTTAGGGTTTTATTTGAAAATTCTGAGCCAGATGTGCAAAGTACCATTTCTTTCATTGGCAAGTGATTTTCTGCAAGTTTGCTTTGTCCAATTAAAACCAGGCATCTGCGTAAATACATGCGTGGTTTGTATTGAATACAATAATATAAAATCGGAATGAAAAAAAGGGATATTACAAACAGTAGCGAATGCGTAGTTGGTATGACAAGTGTTCAACTCACCTGTTCAATTCATAATGAAGCCTTGCCTCAATCTTGTGGGTTTACCATTTTTTAAATTAGCCGAGGGTTTAACCATATTTGGCTGATGTAACCATGCAAAGCGTGGACATGAGCTCATTTCATCTCATCTGAAAGTTTGGGATTGTACAAGTTACGCCACCATCTCTTTTTTGTCAAAACCGGTGCAAAACACAATTGACTAGTGAATTTTGATTTGTTTCCGCTGATTATGCATTATAAAATATGTATTGCGTATGCTGGAATTGCTCAGAGTCAATAGAATGGGTGTTGCATAAATTTTGACTGACACGCCTGCTGCTTTGATTTAGCGAGAGGCTAAAAGCAAAGAATAGGCGGAACATTATAACGTGCTCAATACTATCTGGCTCCTTGCCATCAAACTATTTGGATCAGCTTTAGCGGAAATGCAGAAGCACATCTTGTCTTGAATAGCCTTGATATTTGAAAACAAGTGGCTCCTATTTGAGGTTGAATCAAGACCAGTTGGCTGCTTTTCTGCTAAACACTTTTAGTTCCACCGAGAATGGACTGTTTTCTATTGATCCGAGATGGCTCGTATGCAAGCATTAGCGGCAATTTTATCTAGATCTTATTTCGCGTATAATTTTTTCAAACGTGCAATGCACAAGCTATTTTTCCACAAAGCTTAGCTATTTACCTGACTCAGCATTAGACATTGAATTATTTTTACAATGGTTAATGGTAACTTGTGTAAAGGGAGCGAGTCGAAAACAAGACAATGTGATGTGCTGCAAAAAATCGACTGGTTGGTATACTTTTAACTATAGTTGGTATATCTAAAAGATCACATAATCCATGCTTTTACAAATCACACTTTTCAATGTCTGAAATATCATATTGGCCGCATCAAGATTAAATGGTAAACCTTGTAAAGAAAACCAGTGGTATCTTGTTTAAACTCGACAGCCTATACAAATGTTTTTTAAATTTTGCAGTTCAAGCAGCACGTCTCGGTCATGCAAGCAGCACTCTAAACTTGCAATTCCAAGAGCCCCATACTTTGAACATCAAATGGGCTTGGGTTTAAAGCACATGATCTGCTGCTTGTTTTAGCGACATTGATCTAAAAGCCTCGACTATGCAGTATACTAATATGCATGCTAACCGTGATTCATATACCAGAATCCGTAAAATCATCAATTTGTAATAGTCTCATGGGCTATTCACGATTGGTAGCGGTATATACTGAACGCACGATGATACTGCTTTTAATGGAGATTCATCAGCAATTTGCAATTGTATTCACGTAAAATGAAGCACTAAACAAGGGTGCCAAATACATGATGGATGGCCAGTTTCATGGAATAATGGACACCAAATCTACCAAACAACATTCTATTCTGTAAACCTGTTGGTAAAGTTGACTGGTTTCTATTCATTTGTGATAAAAAAAAACTAGACGAATTCTCACACCATAGTTTCAGTAAATCACACATCAGAGCAGTTGAGCTCAATATCTGAATGCTGACGAGTCCAGTTTCAAACATGTCGATCGTGCAGTGTATGGCTACGCCAAAAGTGGAGAGGAATGGTCTTTGATCAAAATTAGCTTGATTTTGTGCATCATATGATTGTTGTGTTTATTGAAAAGTTGAGAATATCTATTGGATAGGCAGTGCAGTTATGTATACTAAAAATGCAAGGAATAAGTAATCATTATTTATCTCAAAGAGGCAGTTACTGCAAGATAAATACAAGTGCCCTATTTTACGTGCATTCAAACTAAAGCAAAAGACGAAAGGGGTGAGAGCGGGAGGAAAAATGTTTATTTGTATTTCAGCAACCCGACTCTGTTTCGAATACATTCTGATAGCATCAAACGGACTACTGCCGCAACATTTCAATGTGAATTCTCCGTTGGTAAAATTGCACGATTGGTTAGGTTAGCGTACACACCCTGTATAGGCGGAATGCCCGAGTTTTTGGTTGTGTCAGAATATTGAATGAAAAGCGTCATTCTATATTAGATCGATGAAGGTGGCAGATCGTAGTGTGAATCATTTAATAAGCTGGTCGCGGTGAAAGAGGCATGAGCAATAGACGCTCCTGTCATTCAGATTAGTAGACCAACAATCTATCGATACTGGTAAAACAACACCCAATCCGATTATACACAAGGGTGTGAACAAGTCTTGTATTTTTCCAAAAGCATCACCAAGAGTGATGTTACTGACCATCTCTTGTCCTCTTTCCACCAACCGTAATCAGCCTGATCAAACGGTGATGCACATTTGCTTTAGACAGTCGAGTTGTGAGATGATACCGAGTTTTCTTGAAGCCACTAGTGAATGCTTTGTGATATTTTTATAACAAGCAGTCGAATTGGACACTTTTTATCCAATCAAAACCTTGTGTTTAGGATTGTGATTTTGGCTTATTTTGTGGTTTGTTTAAAACTACAAAACTGCTCTTTCCAGCTATCCAGGCAACTACTTTGAGCACCCACACTTCCTATTAGTACAGGAACCTTTACCACGGTTGTTTAAACTCTTTTAGCTCATTCTATCAAGCCTACAGGCTTTTATATGGGCTATTTCGCTTTCCACCCTCATACCAAGAAGCACATTGGCCGTGACGTTGATTAAACCTCTTATTGCCACCAACATACTACTACTGTCTACTCTTATCTTGCTCTCTCTTTATCCTTCTTGTCTTGTCTTGTCTTGGAAATGGACATTGTTCGCATTACCATGCTGGCTCGCCAGTCTCACCGTCATTCTCTTCATTCAGCTCCCCTTGCTCATATTGAAACAGTCTCGGCAGCTCAAACCTCCCTTTCAATGGCTGACTGCTTTTCTGACCATTCTCACGCATCCACCGCCTCGTGTTCTGCAAGAACCACTACGGCCGACCTTGCTCAAACCCCTGTGGTCATGACCCCCGCTTCACGAAGCAGCTGGCGACTGCAATCACTTTTTTCTGCTTTTGGTCTAGCCTAGTCGCATGCAGATATGGCAAATCTCGTCTAGTCCATTTACTCGCCTCATTTTGACAAAGTCTTGTTGATTTATTCAAACCATTGTTTTGCCCAAATACAGAGTTGGCTATTGTCCGCTCAGATTCGCATGTGTTTTTTGCAGAGGTTAGAAAATAAACAGCTTGAACTTTCAATAATGGCTTTATATGTTTTTTGGAATTGTCCGCTCCAAATGGACTTGGTTTCTGAGTTATAAACACGGACTAGAAATCCAGTGGGATTAGTATACGGCCAACTGCTTGTAAGACTCGTGAGACTGCCAGACCTTGTTATGAGCAAACATCTGTAGAATATAGACATGAGCGTGGATGAATATCCACGAACAAGGTTGTCATTCACCCCTCTAACAACACAATCCACCCCAATTCGTATCCATACACGCGGGTTTGCCGAGGTAAGCGAACGCCATGACAAGATGGGTTGCTTTTGTTGCTATAGACTGGATCTACTCGCATCTACCCTACATATTTTGCTTATTCACTACTATTGTTCTTGTCATCGAACCGTATCATACTTTGATATAATCCAAAGAAACCCTGTTCAATTTCTTACACTCCAGATTCATAACTCTCCTTGAGCTACCAAAGACTTGCGATCGTTGATTGCTACCATCTGAAAGCACCACTACACACTAACCCTGATACTATGGTTCAGTCAGGTTTTGACACTGTGCCCACTCCGACATTCAGGGTTTCATCTACGCAACCTCTTGCGTCAGATTCAGATGGAGTGACCACTGTTGGTCCTGCTCAAACTAGCAGTAAGAGTGGCAGTAAAAATAGTAGTAACGGAGGAAGCGCAATTAATGTTTCTACAGAGACTAGCAGAGTTCCTGCTTCAAATTCAGGTGCTGCCAATAATTCATCAACCATTAATTCATCTCAACTAGAGCCTAGTCGAACTAGTAATATCATCCAACCTTCTGCTTCCTCTAATATCCCCCTTTTTACAAATAATCCTAAACCAGATTCTGTTTCTACCACCTATTCAGGCTCTACTCTTATCCCATTCACAAGCCAGCCAGCCACTGCAGGTGAATTCTGTCGTTTTTTCCTCTAGGTTTTATCTGGAATTCAGTTTTGGCTTGGCCAACATTCTACATTCCATTATTGTCAAGTGGATACGATAATTCGTCTTTATTCACGCTGTCCATCTCCATATTGTAACCAAATATCAGAGTGCTTTTCAACATTTCGATTTTTATATATCAATGCCATCTTGGTAGTCTCTTGGATATATGAATTTCAAGACTTGATTTAAAGTATTCTGTATAATAATTTGATTTTCAAATTATTCTGATTATTCTTGGATTCAATTCTTTCTAGTTTTATATCTAGCCATTAGTATAAATGCTGACATGTTTTTGTTTAATCTTAGATGCTTTGCCAGGATCTTCAGACCAGAACCAGACAAATGACCCAAAATCTCTCACTGAATCTATCTTTTCACAATCACTTGAATCGCTGACCAATATGGCAGGTATTCCTTCAACCCTCACTGCATCTGGAGTTCTTGGAACCGCATCTCCTACTGTATTAATTGTTAATGCTGGAGGATCAAAACCTAATGTGTTGCCGCAAGGTATGATTGCCGCGATCGCTATTGCTGGGTTTGCTATACTTGCAGCCGTGTGCATGGTTGTTGTTCGGTCGTTATATAAAAAACCTCCCGTTGAAGGCGCTACTGCTGCTGTTGCTGGAGATTCTTTTGGTGGTGATGGTACTGCAACAATGGCTGCAATCGATGCGACTCATGACGATGGTGCTAATGGTACTGGAGATGCAATGGCGTCTACATCATCTAGATCGGCTGCTGCTGCCAACGCACCTTTTGAATTTAAAAATGTTGGGTCTAATTCTGCTGTACCAACTGCTGCTGCAGGTATATTTGCTGCTGTGGCTGCGCTGGGGAAAAAGAAACGTCGTGCTCCAGAAGATACCACGTCTGATCTTCAACCACGCTATCGTGTTAATTCAAAGGCAGCCGGCACTTCTGCAGCCTCATTCAATTCAAATTATCCCGTTGCAGTCTTGCTAAGGAATGAGAGTGAATGGGAGAATCCAATTCAATCCCCATACAGCGATTGGAGAACTTCTATAGATAGTACTATGGGACCAACCATTGAGCCGTTACGGTTTTCAATGAGCGACTATTTTCGTAACTCGATTGTGGAAGAAATGCCACTTGGTAATGCAGATATTAAAACTGATACAAGTCTTTCACTCAGTCGGACAGCTGCACGTACAGTTGAAGTGTCCGAGGTAACATCTACTGTCTCGTCAGTGTCTGCTGCTATTCATCCGTGTAATGGGTCTTCTGATGGTCGACCATCTGGTGAAGGATCAGGCTCGTTTAATGCCAGCGTGCTTTCAAACCAGCCTCTATGTCGAGTGTCCTCAAGCAATGCAAGTGAATCCAGTACAACACACAATGCAGCTATTCGAAATGTATCTAAAGCACCAAACCAGAGTCATCAAGTCTTTGAAAATGCTGATACAATGTCTTGTGTAAATTCTGTTGCTTCAAACGTCCAATCACAACACTTTTATTCACTACCCGATGAATCTGCTGAACATTATCCACATAAAGCGGTTCTTTCGCGCTCTAGATCTTCAAATATGCTTGGTGTGTCAGCCAATCAACTGACTCAAGCTGACTCTGTGGGCACCACTCGACCAATGTTTTTACGTAGCACCTCTGCTGCTTCTTTGAATCAAGCATCTTTACCTCGTATGAAATCGGTAGGGTCCATTCAGTCAGTTGATCCAGTTATTTATTCAGATGCTAGTCTAGCCGGAAAATCATCTTCCATGCAAAAAATATCTCCATTTTTTTTAAAAAGAGAATGGTCTGTTTCATCCATTAACCGTGAAGAACAGAGTATACCTTCCGATTCAGTGTCATTTCCTGGTACGTTTCAGCGAAATCCCTCGTCATCATCATTTTCCCAAGATCCACCCGGTCTCTTGCGTGCAGATGCGTCTACAACTTCGCTAAACATAGAACCCATACATGATTTGGATACTACGTCAACATTGAATATTAAAATGTCTTCTATAGCTGAGCCATCGACAACTACTATTAATATTCCCAAAACTCCTATTGATGGCGACAAGGATACTTTGCCAACTCTGATGGATCGTTCGTCGGTTGTGGCAATCCCATTGCAGAGGAATTCAGATCAACATGACAGTGAATATCATCAGAAACAAAATGATCCATTTCAAGTGAACAACCACTCTTCCTTTTTGACTCCACATGGAAAAACCCCATCTACTTTTGATCCACATATGAGTATTTATTCTACTATCGTGCTACCTCAAGAAGTATCACCTAATATTGTTTCTGCATACGGCTCTACTAATGATGTTGATTCCAAGAATGCACAGGATGAAGAATGGGGGGAAAAGATTCAAGATGATCACGACCATGACGATTTTATGGCAACACCACAAGGTGAATTACCAGATGAAACTGTAAAACACACACGATCGTTGTCTCAATCATCATATCAATCTAAGCCAACTATCGGCACAAATGTTGATGGCATGTTTCCAGTTGAACGACATGAATCAGAGACAACTTTGAAGGAATATATGGCTACTAGTGCATCAGGCTTATACCCTACTCAAGATGCTGTGCACGATCAGCTTCCAATCACTGCATTGGATTCAGTATCACCTACTTACTCGGATGATACAGTCACGCTACCAGACTCGCTTCAACATAAGATGTCATTGAGTTCTGCTGCCAACTTGGTGTCTGTAAAGTCTACATCAAAAATAGAGCAACCGATCAGTCAGTCCAAATTGACCGCGATTTCGTCTCGACCTATTCAAAGCAGTGGTCTTGGTCGCACTTTTGTTTTGGTCGGGGACTCGATGAGTAGCAAGGACACTGTAAACTACCATGATGCTGATTCAGCTGTGGAGCAATACGCTCCAGAAATCACTGTCAAGCATCATCAAATATTTGAACAGGTTGTGGATCAACAAAACTCCAAATCGGGAACAGCCGATTCATTGCCGTTATCGGTTGGTAAGCTTCATAACACGATAATGGCTATGCATGCTGTTGACTCATCTAGCACTATTACTCCTGACGATCATGCTGCTGCAAATGCTTCTGGATCTGATATTGGTGGAGGAAACAATGGTGCATCCAAACCTTTAGCTCCTACTTTAAATCAGCCTAGACATGTTGAAGCCTCGACTGCATCTATAGTTGGAGTTTCAGATCAACTTCAAACCAAAGCTAATCCTACAGAATATGCTGCTGTATCTCATACACTTGATACATCCATTGAATCAACTCAGACCTCTGATCAAGCATCGCACCAAAAACTTTCCAAATCGCCAGTGAGGCCTATACCTCTTTCACGCTCATCCACTCATAACACTGATGGGTTTACTACATCTATATATGATCTGGCAATGACCACCAGTCGCCACAATATACTTGATTTTGACATGTCTAAGCCATTGACGTTTACTGACCCTTTGAATTTCGAGGATGAGTATGACACCATGTACCGTCCGGTTTCAACATGGGATGCTCAATCTGAAAGCGAATTTTATCCACAATCACATATGGACTCTTCGTCGTCAATTGGCTCGTATGGATCAAAGCTTGGATCCTCGAGTGCATTAATGTCACATTCTGAATACTCGTCACAATCTACACAGCGACCGTTGAGTATTATCTCGCGTGGTCGTGGAGGATCCCAGAGAAGCCATGCTCATCCATTCAACAGTCTTGGCAGTACTCGAACTGCTGACACACAGTATTATACGGCGCCTGAATCGTTTGGGACACCTATGAGTTATATGGATGGAATAAGTTTAAATCGTGGTGATGATTTGGGACCATCACAGAGTGTTTTCTTTACTCCTGGTACACAAACGCAAACACAAGATATGTTCATGTCTGACGCAAGTTTCTTTACTGCTGGGGATCGTACTCAAGCGTCGATCTCTGGTGGCGGTATGGGTGATGGTGCTTTACAGACACGCAATCCTTCTAATGGCATAAATGGTACAGAGAATGGAGATCATCGACCAGAAAGCGGAGACTTTGGTGATTTTAGACTTAGTCAGGTATCAAGTTATCAAACAGCTGGATCATCTGGTCGTGGCGTGCTTAGGGGCTCAGAAGACTCGCATGGTTTTGAAAATACACCCTGATCGTAGAGTCGTGCGCTTTTTCAGCCGTATCTACATGAAATGGAGCATCTTTCTGTATTTATTTTGCAGTGATTGTCTTGGAATAAACAATAATTTAAGTATTCGTTGTATTTTTCTACTACACATTGATTATTTCTTGTATAGAAGCTCCAAGTCCTTTGGTGTCTGGAATTGCTCAATGTACGAAACCATTCCAAGTACTAGAGTCATTTTATGTAGGATTCAAAAATGGTCAATATACAGTAGTGTAGTAATGACTGATCATGTCAAGTTGAATGTAAAGTATTACTAAACCACATGTTTGAATCATGTCAATCAACTGTGATTGCAAACCATACAATATCACAACACATTGATGACCGTCATATCGACTTGATACCAGCCATTTCCATATAGTTATATGACATTATTTTGAACTCAACTTGCTTTCCTATATTGTGGCATACTGTCCCTCTTTAGAGTAGAAAAGGGTGAGAGATGCGCAATCAATCAACCATAAACAGCTGAGCGCACAACCAAACACCAGCTCAACCAATATTATGGATCATTGCATGAATGGATATCCCTTTAAAGCTGCTTTGATACTCGACAACAGTAAATCTACATCAACCCTGACAGCAACAATAGTCCCTTGTGACGGCGATTCAAGGAACATGCTTTTAATACCATTCATTTAATAATTGATATAAATGCAATCCAAAAAGCAACTTGCTGAATGACAATCATTTACAACTTGCTCAACCAAACTACTATGATGAAGTTATTGATTGCTGTATTGTCATCAACGCTGATTGCTTGTTCGGTCACTACAGCTACTCCAGTTAATCCCAGTAGGACTAGAAACCTCGAGTCTAGTTCCACAGCTATTTACACTGCAACTGCTTATCCCAGCACTTCGACATTTACTGGTTTAGATGTAGACACGGTTAATTGTGGTGATTATTCAAGGAGGAAAAAACAAATAATCAAAGAATATGCAAAGAGGAGAGGTGGTTTCAAGGCAACACATAAAAAGTGCAAGTTGATAAAAGCAAAAGTTGTTGCTCAAAAACCAGTGATAAAAAATCTGCGTGAAAGAATCAAGCTAATGTCGCCTGTAACTATGCCAAATGATGGTGGTCCAGACTATACAGAAACAAAATCTCTCCTTCAAAGCGGGAATGCTGTTCTTGCAAACCTTGAAAGCCAGCGGAGAGTATGCGATGACCAATATTTTTCTCGGCGCAAGAAGATGCGTTTAGCCAAACGAAAACTTGCAGAAGAGTTTTTTGGAATCTTCCGCGTCGAGCTTGGACTGGTTACTAGTAGGCGCATGATAACCCTTTTATCAAGTCAGATCTTTCTGAATTGTTTTAATCAATTTTACTCTGGCATACGGAGTTCATCAACAGGCTCTGAGCGTGCCTCTACTAGTGGAACGCAAGGTTCATCACGATCTCATGGTCCACCACCATCATATGAAGTTGTAATGAAGAATCCTAAACTCTATAAAGTGACTCAACAGAACCCAGGTGATCAACTTCCATCGTATCAAGAAGTAATACGCAACCCTCAAAATTTCCCCAAGGTCTTGGAAGATCCTGATGTTACCGAATCGTCATCGATGAATCCATCTATAGTTCATTCTACTCAAACATCATCCAGTGTTCCACCCAGTCAACATACAGCTTCATCCACTTTACAGAGAGTTTCATCCACTCTACAGAGAGCTTCATCCAGTCTACGGAGAGCTGCATCTAGTGTGCGAAAAGTTTCATCCAGTCTTACATGGAAAGTCGATCGTTCTTGAGTCGACACTAAAATGAAGATCGCGAGTTATTGATTCGAGTGCTAATCCAAACTGATTCTAATCTAATCGACTGTCATTATACAACCGCATTACTGATTCAACTTGTAATAAATACACTACACTACATTACATTACATTACAGTGCATTGAACACACATGTGTTGAATTTGATCATTCCAGTCTTGATCAACATGCTTGCTGATATCATTGTACTTTGACACTTGTATTTTAAATACAGTTGGTTATATATTGCATGCCTGTACAAATTGATGATCATGACATGCATGTGTTTTGTTGATATAATATCAGTTGACAAGTCGTATTTACACATCATGTATCAAGTAGAATACCGAGATTAACAGAATAGTTGTGTGTTGATATCAGATCTGATCAACTCGACCAACTTGACTCGTTCAAAAATGACGAGTCATTGGTATACTCGCTGTAGTACACCATATTACCTCCAGAGGTAGTGTGGATGAACTACAACACCAGCTAATAACTGAATGTCAGTTCAGTTACATATAGCTATATGACATTATTTTGAATCTAACTTGCTTTCCTATCTTGTGAAATACTGTCCCTCTTTAGAGTGGAAAAGGATGGGAGATGCGCAATCAACCAACCATAAACAGCTGAGCGCACAACCAAACATCAGCTCAGCCAATATTATGGATCATTGCATGAATGGATATCCCTTTAAAGCTGCTTTGATACTCGACAACAGTAAATCTACATCAACCCTGACACCAACAATAGTAAATCAACACCAACCCTGACAACAACACTAGTCCCTTGTGACAGCCATTCAAGGAACATGCTTTTAATACCATTCATTTAATAATACATATAAATACAATCCAAAAAGCAACTTGTTGAATGACAATCATTTACAACTTGCTCAACCAAACTACTATGATGAAGTTATTGATTGCTGTATTGTCATCAACACTGATTGCTTGTTCAGTTACTACAGCTACTCCAGTTAATCCCAGTAGGACTAGAAACCTCGAGTCTAGTTCCACAGCTATTTACACTGCAACTGCTTATCCCAGCACTTCGACATTTACTGGTTTAGATGTAGACACGGTTAATTGTGGTGATTATTCAAGGGAAAAAAAAGAAGCAGTCAAAGAATATGCAGAGAAGGGACATAGTTTCGAAGAAATACATAAAAAGTGCAAGTTGATATTAACAGAAATTATTGCTCAAAAAAGAGCGATGAAAAATCTGAATGAAAGAATTGAGTCAATGTCGCCTGTAACTATGCCAAGTGATGGTGGCCCAGGTTATACGGAAACTATGTCACTCATTCAAGATGGGAATGATGCTCTTGCAAACCTTGAAAGCCAGCAGACAATATGCGATGACCAATATTCTTCTCGGCGCGAGAGAGTGCGTTTAGCTGAAAAAAACCTTGCAAGAGAGTTTTTTGGAATCTTACGCGTCAAATTTGGACGGGTTAGTAATGAGCGCATGATGGACCTTTTAACAAGTTCCAACTTTCTGTATTGTTTTAATCAATTTTACCCTGAGATACCGAGTTCATCAACAGGCTCTGAGCGTGCCTCTACTAGTGGAACGCAAGGTTCACCACAACCTCAAGGTCCACCACCATCGTATGAAGTTGTAATGAGGAATCCTAAACTCTATAAAGTGATTCAACAGAACCCAGGTGATCAACTTCCATCGTATCAAGAAGTAATGAACGACCCTCAAAAGTTCCCCGAGGTCTTGGAAGATCCTGATGTTACCGAATCGTCATCGATGAGTCCATCTATAGTTCATCCTACTCAAACATCTTCTAGTGTTCCATCCAGTCAACATACAGCTTCATCCACTCTACGAAGAGTTGCATCCACTCTACAGAGAGCTTCATCCACTCTACAGAGAGCTGCATCTAGTGTGCGAAAAGTTTCATCCAGTCTTACATGGAAAGTCGATCGTTCTTGAGTCGGTCTTGAAATGAAGATCGCGAGTTATTGATTCGAGTGCTAATCTAAACTGGCTCTAATCTAATCGACTATCATTCTACAACCGCATTACTGATTCAACTTGTAATAAATACATTACACTACATTACATTACAGTGCATTGAACACACATGTGTTGAATTTGATCATTCCAGTCTTGATCAACATGCTTGCTGATATCATTGTACTTTGACACTTGTATTTTAAATACAGTTGGTTATATATTGCATGCCTGTACAAATTGATGATCATGACATACATGTGTTTTGTTGATATAATATCAGTTGACAAGTCGTATTTACACATCATGTATCAAGTAGAATACCGAGACTAACAAAATAGTTGTGTTGATATCAGATCCGATCAACTCGACCAGTTTGACTCGTTCAAAAATGACGAGTCATTGGTATACTCGCTGTAGTATACCATATTACCTCTAGAGGTAGTGTGGATGAACTACAACACCAGCTAATAACTGAATACCAACTCAGTTACATATAGCTATATGACATTATTTTGAATCTAACTTGCTTTCCTATCTTGTGAAATACTGTCCCACTTTAGAGTGGAAAAGGATGGGAGATGCACAATCAACCAACCATAAACAGCTGAGCGCACAACCAAACACCAGCTCAACCAATATTATGGATCATTGCATGAATGGATGTCCCTTTAAAGCTGCTTTGATACTCGACAACAGTAAATCTACACCAACCCTGACAGCAACAATAGTCCCTTGTGACGGCGATTCAAGGAACATGCTTTTAATACCATTCATTTAATAATACATATAAATACAATCCAAAAAGCAACTTGCTGAATGACAATCATTTACAACTTGCTCAACCAAACTACTATGATGAGGTTACTGATTGCTGTATTGTCATCAACGCTGATTGCTTGTTTGGTCACTACAGCTACTCCAGTTGTTCCCAGCGCGACTGCAAACCTTGGATCTAGTTCCACAGCTATTTACACTGCAACTGCAACTACTTATCCCAACATTTTGACATTTGTTGATTTAGATGTAGACACGGTTAATTGTGGTAGATATTCAAGGAAGAAAAAAACAGTAATCAAAGAATACGCAAAGAGGGTACATACTTTCAAAGAAACATATGGAGAATGCAAGTCGATAACAGCAAAAATTATTGATCAAACAACAGCGGTAGAAAATTTGAATGAAAGAATCGAGCTAATGTCGCCTGTAACTATGCCAAGTGATGGTGGCCCAGACTATACGGAAACTCTGTCACTCATTCAAGATGGGAATGATGCTCTTGCAAACCTTGAAAGCCAGCAGATAATATGCGATAGACAACATTATTCTGAGTACGAGAAACTGCGTTTAGCTGAAGAAAGTCTTGCAAGAAAGTTTTTTGGTGGTTTCCGCGTCAATTCTGGACTGGTTAGTGAGGAGCGCATGATGGACCTTTTAACAAGTCAGATCTTTCTGAATTGTTTTGGTAAATTTCACATTGACATACCGAGTTCATCAACAGACTCTGAGCGTGCCTCTACTAGTGGAACGCAAGGTTTATCACAATCTTATGGTCCACCACCATCGTATGAAGTTGTAATGAGGAAACCTAAACTCTATAAAGTGATTCAACAGAACCCGGATGATCAACTTCCATCGTATCAAGATGTAGTGCGCAACCCTCAAAAGTTCCCCAAGGTCTTGGAAGATCCTGATGTTACCGAATCGTCATCGATGAGTCCATCTATAGTTCATCCTACTCAAACATCATCCAGTGTTCCATCCAGTCAACATACAGCTTCATCCACTCTACGAAGAGTTTCATCCAGATTTGTACGGAAGGCTAAGTCATTCTTGAGTCGACACTAAAATGAAGATCGCGAGTTATTGATTCGAGTGCTAATCCGAACTGGTTCTAATCTAATCGACTGTCATTCTACAACCGCATTACTGATTCAACTTGTAATAAATACATTACACTACACTACATTACAGTGCATTGAACACACATGTGTTGAATTTGATCATTCCAGTCTTGATCAACATGCTTGCTGATATCATTGTACTTTGACACTTGTATTTTAAATACAGTTGGTTATATATTGCATGCCTGTACAAATCAATGATCATGACATGCATGTGTTTTGTTGATATAATATCAGTTGACAAGTCGTATTTACACATCATGTATCAAGTAGAATACCGAGACTAACAAAATAGTTGTGTTGATATCAGATTAGATCAACTTGACCAGTTTGACTCGTTCAAAAATGACGAGTCATTGGTATACTCGCTGTAGTACACCATATTACCTCCAGAGGTAGTGTGGATGAACTACAACACCAGCTAATAACTGAATACCAGCTCAGTTACATATAGCTATATGACATTATTTTGAATCTAACTTGCTTTCCTATCTTGTGAAATACTGTCCCACTTTAGAGTGGAAAAGGATGGGAGATGCACAATCAACCAACCATAAACAGCTGAACACACAACCAAACACCAGCTCAACCAATATTATGGATCATTGCATGAATGGATATCCCTTTAAAATTGCTTTGATACTCGACAACAGTAAATCTACACCAACCCTGACAGCAACAATAGTCCCTTGTGACAGCCATTCAAGGAACATGCTTTTAATACCATTCATTCAATACATATAAATGCAATCCAAAAAGCAACTTGCTGAATGACAATCATTTACAACTTGCTCAACCAAACTACTATGATGAAGTTACTGATTGCTGTATTGTCATCAACGCTGATTGCTTGTTTGGTCACTACAGCTACTCCAGTTAATCCCAGTAGGACTAGAAACCTCGAGTCTAGTTCCACAGCTATTTACACTGCAACTGCAACTGCTTATCCCAGCACTTCGACATTTACTGGTTTAGATGTAGACACGGTTGATTGTGGTGATTATTCAAGGGAAAAAAAAGAGGACATCAAGGAATATGCAAAGAAGGGACATAGTTTCAAAGAAATATATAAAAAGTGCAGCTCGATAAAAGCAAAAATTATTGCTCAAACAACAGTGATAAAAAATCTGCGTGAAAGAATCGAGCTAATGTTGCCTGTAGCTACGCCAAGTGATGGTGGTCTAAGCTATACGGAAATTCTGCCACTCCTTCAAGGCGGGAATGCTGTTCTTGCAAACCTTAAACGCCAGCAGCAAATATGCGATGACCAATATTCTACTTGGCGTGGGAGACTGAGTTCAGCCAGACAAAGTCTTGCAATAGATTTTTTTGGTGCTTTCGACGTCAGTCTTGGATATGTTACTAATGAGCGCATGATAAGCCTTTTAACAAGTCAGACCTTTCTGGATTGTTTTAATCAATTTTACCTTAGCATACTGAGTTCACCAATGGACTTTGAGAGTGCCTATATTAATGGCATACCGAGTTCACCAATAGACTTTGAGGGTGTCTCTACTAGTGAAACGCAGGCTTCAACAGATTCTGAGCGTGCCTCTACTAGTGGAACGCAGAGTTCACCAACAGGCTCTGAGCGTGTCTCTGCTAGGGGAGCACAAGGTTCATCACCACGACCTCAAGGTCCACCACCATCATACAAAGTTGTAATGAAAAATCCTAAACTCTATAAAGTGACTCAATATAACCCGGATGATCAACCTCCATCGTATCAAGAAGTAATGCGCAACCCTCAAAAGTTCCCCAAGGTCTTGGAAGATCCTGATGTTACCGAATCGTCATCGATGAGTCCATCTATAGTTCATCCTACTCAAACATCATCCAGTGTTCCACCCAGTCAACACACAGCTTCATCCACTCTACGAAGAGTTTCATCCACTCTACAGAGAGCTTCATCCAGTCTACGGAGAGTTGCA